GGTCATGGGCACCCCCTTTCACCAACCCGTTGTGATCAATGTGGTGAAATATGGTCAAATAAACCCTCACAACTGACGTGGCATAGGCTTGTTAAATTAGAGGTGTACAATATTTGCGTTTGTCTGTTGTGTAATGATGCCAGTTGTATGTATTATATTGCACAAATGTTCAATGTAAGCTTTCAACATTTAGTAAGCACTCGTGTCGTATTGCATTGCAAGGGAGAAAGACAATAACTGAAGCGATTAATAGATTTTTTTATTTTTGAATTTAACTAAACGACACCTACAAATGCATCCTGACATCAATGCATGCAAATCAAATCGACGTTTCATTAACCGACTTAAACAAAGCACTGCGTTGCCTCAACACGCGAGGCACTCAGAGCGACTTTGTGCTCTCCTTGTGCATGACCTTGCGGATTACTGGCACCAGTGGCCAATGGTCAATCTCTTGCATCACTTTCATGAAGCCACCGTAGCGTTTGAATGGCGGAGGCACGCGGAAGACCCCGTCTTTATTTCCAACCTCGGCATCTTCCCCCGTCGCCGCCGCCTCGTCCACTCCACGGTGCCCGGCCGCGTCCGGCGTCTCCCTGCGGCTCATGAACACGGAGTCGCCCGCGTCGTCTGCCGGGCCTTCCACCCCATTGAAGGCGTAGTCTGGGATCTCGGGGCTGTCGGACGTGTTGGGTCGCACCGGTCTGCGCTTGCGGATGGTGGCCTTATCGGGGCTGCCCCAGCGGAAATGCCCCATGGCGTACTTGGGGGAGGACACGGAACGCTTGGCCTGGCTGGAACTAGTCGCCGGGGAGGACTCCACCTGCCCCGCCAAATCCACCTGCTCCACCCTCGGACTTCCACCACTCTCGCCACCCTCGCCACTCAGGCCACTCTGTCCACCCCAGCGGACGAGCCACCACTTGTTGTTGGCGATGTCGAAATCGCTGCGGGATTCGGCTCTGCTTGCGATCCACTGCAGCAGGGGAGCGTCGTCGTCGTTGTCATCACCGTCGTCGCTGCATTTGAGCTGCACGCATGCCAGCAGATTCTCCAGCACCGCCGCCGGCGTGCCTGCCCGTGTCCCATTGCTGCAGTATTTCTTGCAGTCGGTGAAGCACCCCTGGGAAAGTGTCAGTGAATGGGAAAGAGAGACAAGAGACGGTGATGAGATATTGGGTGGCAGCAGAGGGGGAAGAGACAGTGATACGATATTGGCGGAGAGCATGTGGTTGTGCCATCGAGATCACCCAGCCTTTACATTTCTCCGCATGTGAAAATTTAAAGTGCTGCCCTGCCATTGCTTCCTCGCCCCACTGCTCGTAGAAAGGCTTCCTTAAGAAAGAGCTTGACAGAACTCCAGAAGGTATTTGTCTTACTCCTCCTCGCTGGCCAGACGTTTTGGAAGTGGTGGAAGAACTCACACTTTAAAACCACACCAGACCTGCTGATCGACTACCCGTGGTGTAAAAATTTATACTGCAGGGAGGACAGGCAAGAGCGATTTAATACACTTCCCATTGTTTCAAATGCTTAGAGATTGAACCAACAGCTTCTGAATTTCAAATTCAGCAAGCTAACCATTACACCACGGCGGCATGATCCACAGCGGCTGAACAGTATTTTTTGTGCTCCTTTAATTTGCAATAAAATAAACCGGTAGATTGGGGGGGGGGGGGGGGGGGGGTTGATTGCCTAAAGGAAATCCTTTCCAAGGAAGTTCTTGTAATCCTATCGTTTGGCAGTTGACGAGTCATGGTTGGTAATACCTGATGATAATGATGACGATGATGGTGTTTTTAAGATTGGGTGAAAAGCCAGTGTCTGTCAAAATCACAAATCTTCTGGCTGAAATCATTACCTTTTGGCTTTATGAAGCATCTAACTGCAAAGTAGCAGAACGTGCATCACGGGGAACCATTTAACCAGGGGTAATATATAATTTTCTGCATATTTTTAAGGCAAGTTGTCAAATGTAGCCAAAAAGCTGAAACACGTTTGCAGATATTAGGTGGATTATCACATCTCCGGATTGTGAAAGATGGCGGTGGCTTGATGAATTGACCATATATTTTAGCATGTCTGCATTGAAGGAGAAAAGTCAATTCTGGAGGCTCTCATCTGGTTGTAATTAAAGGTTATTAAAAGATGCAGAAACTCGCAACGAAGACACTTACAATAAGAGTCAGTCCATCGGCAGAGAAGGAACCCATTGTACTTCTTCGGCTGTTGTGGTTGTGCTGTATAGCGGCTCTCGAATGTGTTTTTAATTTGTGCCGGTTTTTTTTGCATGTTTGACGTTTTTCTTCTGGAAGCTCCTTCACGTAATGAATTGTTTCTGAAGATATTTATTTTTTACTGAAGCTCCCAGCACGAATTAAATGTCAGACATGCTGAACAACATGCGGTACAATGTAAACATACCACGGTAGAGCTAGAAGCAAACAGCCTTACGAGCACTGCCCATCGCAGTAGTGGTAATGTCCCCCCCCACCCTCACCTGGTCCAGCCGTGCCCAGCACATGGCACTGGCAGACGGGGAGATGATTGACAGCATCTCCAGCAGAAGCAGCAGTCGAGAGCAGTTTCCCATCATTCCAGCAGCACTGAGCACGTGCGCACAACAGGGAAAAAACGTCATGTAAAAATGTTAAACGCCACTTGAAATCTTAGCATGAAACGACTGCATTCTTACAACTATGCTAGTAACACGTTCAATTGTACTGTACGAAGTTGATTTCTGTCACTATTGAACCAAATCAGACATCTTTATCAGCTCAAACCAGAAAGGGAAAATAAACTCATGTGATTGTGTCAATATATAAGGGTGAAACCTAGCAACGTTAATAAGTTTGAAGTTACTTTATTGTAAATTGGTCTTCGAATTAAATTCTGTCAAATTATAATTTGAGTTAAATCGGATCTTAAACATTTTTTTTCAAAGTTGTATTTAATTATTTCGTAACGAATATTTTAATACAGACCTTTTCCCCTTTTTCAGTGTTGCTTTGCGTTGCAGGAGTGTCTGTGGCAGAGCTGCGATGCGCCTCTTGCTTATATATCTTGAAACTACCTCCGATTTGAAAGGAAAAAAACCCGCTTGCATGTCAGATTAAGTACATAAATTGCACAACACCCATGTGCAAAGCCCCACAATCACGACCAACGTGACTTTACAATGAAGCCCAAACTCAATTTCCGAAAGTGATAATTGGCACAGGCCTTTTTTTACGCGCTGAGCACAAGTGTCGGAAAGGTAGCGGATTATCTGTGTGCTGTTTGCAAGTAGCGTAGCTGTTGTAACTGATTTTCTTACAAGAGTAATAGAGCGCATGCAACAAACTGCAATGGTTCTTTATCGAAAGTATTCATCTTTTTAGGTCACCTATTATTATTATCCACGTGAATCCCCAGCCACCAGAGCTGCACCTCCTCCACCTCCACCGTCTTTATTAAGTCATCGAACATATTTTTCTTCATTCAGGTGTCATTGTTAAGGTGTATTATATTAATTGCACGATCTTACAAGTGAGGACACAATGACAGCTTGTCTTAATTTTGAATTGAACCAAACTTCGACAATTACGCGATTTCAAATGGTCTCAATGGATCGCAGGTATTCTTAGTGAACTTTTTGACTGCATTCGACAATCCGTTTCTCATGGATATGCTATCCATACTCTTTGGTTCTTTCGATATGCTATCCTATGGTAAAAGCATCGAAAATTCAGCCATTGCCATTGAAAGGGTCAGCTTGGAAATAAGGCATCAGGGTGGAAAGAACATGCTTGGAAGTAGGATTTATAAGGTTAGAGGCTCATGACATTTTCTATATAGCTTAACACCATGACCTTAATGAGTTATACAAATGTGGTTTGTGAGTTTATTAAAAGGTGGGCTTAGTGTGATTTAACATGGATGGAGGAAGATGGCAGGTTATATTTTTTATAAAGACATAGCAATAACCTGGTAAGTTGTCTGCAACATCCGTTTTTCCGACGTTCAGGGAAAAACACAGTTAATATAATTCTCACCAAGCTGTTATAGGATTAGGACACTGATGAGTAACTTCTGCTTTCACGTCAGACAAGGTCCATCTTTCCAATCAAATGTGCAATGCCCATTAAATGCCGAATTAAAAATGCTGGAAATTGAGGTTTAAATCTAGACTGCTACCCAAAGCTTGAAAATGTCAATCGGAGTCCTTGAGATGTGCCTCAGCCTCCGTTTCAATGTTAACACGTGTAAAGGTGCAGCACAACAACTGTTTTCTTACACCACTGCTGGAAAAAGGTCCTCCACTCGAGGGAGCTCGGGAGAGCATCTTGGAAGTGGGAAAACTACACTTTATCCACATGGGGCCTGCCGATCGACTGTGTACATTCCTGCCGCGATATCAAATTAAGACAGCGACCTCTGCATCGCAAGTCCAGAGTGATAACAGCACCAGAACGAAGTGCATACACTTGACACTGGCAATCTTTATGAAGATATAATTAATCCACTGCTGCATGAAGGCCTTCCAATGTCACATTTCCATACAAACTTGTGATGCAATAATCCACCTCGCTCCTCGTCACCGTGGTCATCCTCTCAGACGTGGTCACTCTTATGGCCGAATGTCCTAAACATATCAAGGCAGCATCCAAATGTGTAATGTGATCATTTTACTGGTAGGAACCTCCAGGTTACACCAGCCCACATGGGATTGTGTCCGTCCGTACGTCGTGCATCCAAAAATGGGAGGGGTGGGGCTGGAGGGGCTGGTCACCCCGTGGTGCCCTTATAAAACTCACCGTTTAACCTCACCGGCTTGTGCCCGCCCGGACAGTCGGGCATATTTGCGGAATACACGACGCCGCCGTTGACCCTGGCCATTGACCAAGCAACCCAACGTTCCTACCAGCTCCCTCCGCAGGAATGTTTATTCTGACGGTGTTGTACATGGAAAGATAGGTGACAAGTAGGAATGTAACAATGCGGTTTCCCTTGCAATTCAATGGCTTGGCATGGGATCACACTTTTATTTAGAGAATGTGTTATTGCTGTACAGATATGCGTACAATTTCATTCATGTACCGAGACCCAACTTTAATAAAACGATACCTTACCACCTGCCCCATTCACAATACTGCAGAACTATTTTTTGCAGAACTAATTACAGTAGTCAAAGTATACTTTTAAAAAGTGTGGTAAGCAGTCACAAACATCAGGTTCAATGCTGTTATCACGACTGGATGAGATCAAGCATATGTGTAACATTCAAAAGAAAGTTTATTTTTTTCCTGGAAACAAAATTAACTCGAAGCAGAGGTAAGGTGGAAAACATTGCAGTACTGTACGTTACAAAATTCAAAAACTTGTATAATATACACAGCAATGTTCTGTTGTCCGGACCATTTAAGTTAATGTGAGAATGTGTTATCAAGAGAACGTCAAGGCGAATTGCATCCCTTGGGAAAAAAGGTTATGGTATTATCCACGAACTTACTGATAAAGTATATTACAACAGTTCATATTCATCAGAGGCAATTACACTTTCCCATAGTACATGTTGTGAGATATTGCTGGCTGGTATTTTCTCCAGATCTCTAACATGAGCTTGGGGATACTGGACTCATAAATGGTAAAGTTTCAGTAAAATGCATGAATTTTTTGCCCTCAAACACAGGAATGTTATAACCAAATTTTAATTTAGAACCTCAGCAGAAATTACCCCATGATGATACAATTTGCTAGGGAAACGAATTTGTGATCAGGCATTATTATAGCACACTTTTCAAACAAAACTGTTCATATTTTACCTTGCATTATTTAGCTTAATTTCTTAAGACCAACATAGCAGACAAAACACAAACGTGTATCCATTACGGGCTGAAAAGGTGGAAAAATCTATTCATATTTGTGAGACCAGGTATGATAAAAAGATAAAGTTAAATATTGTCTACTAGCTGCATAAGCCATACAGCAGATGGTGCTCAAACAAAAAATTTTGTACATGAAACAAAGCCTAAAATGCAAACCTCAATGATTTTATTTGAATAAAAACGATCACAATCCACTCATAGCTAACAGCTAACAAAAGTACATATATGTATCTTGATGGTAGCAAATAATGCATGTTTCTTACTCTATTTTATTATAGTAATGTTTTATTCTCAACTGGCTTTTTCAAATGTCATTTGCTATAAGATTACCATTCTTACAAGGCTCACGTGTGAAGCTAATGGAAAACAAAAGTATAAATTGTGTGTTCATAAACACACTGCAGCAATACTGCTACTGGGAAAAAGAATACAACATAACCGAATGTATACATCTGCAGGCCCGAAAGCATGCAGACATCTACAACATCGCTCTTTCACAATCATCACACAACACACGCGCCGCTTGTGGATTTTAAATTTTTATGTTAAAAGCAGTAGGCCGGAACGTGTTGGCTTTTGAGCTTGTGGACTTGAACAGTGCCCACTGGATGACGTCTGGGTCGAGCTCGGTAGTAGATGCTGCACGCTTGCTCTCCTGGCGCCAGGCAGTCTGCTGCATGTAGCTTGCGGTGGAAGGACCGTCACTCAACCGTCTGACAGCACAATGCGTGCGCGCACACACACACTATAGCTGTACTTTCTGAAGGAGAGGAAACATTACCGCGACTTTATATAATACAGCCCTTGGCCAAATGAGGCCTTACTATTTACAGATGGCCTACAAAAATGTATCTGTTACGAAACACCTTAGTCACACTAATCAGGTAATAGAGGGGCTCAATTTTGACCTGATAACAGTTTTTAATTGTATCATTCAGGCAACTTTAGTCACTACTACTTGAGCATCTACACTGTCAACAGGCATATTATTTTTTGCACTATTATTGGTTAATGCTGAGGTGTGTTAATGTTTGGCTTACTCAATATAAAAATGGTGCATTACCCCAGCTCATAACGCAGGTGGGTGCAACACCACCTACTCTACCTTATGGGCAGTGGTAGGAGTGTCACGAGTAAATCAATATTACGCGGTGTGCTGGAGAGTAAGCCCACAATATTTATGAGTACGACATTTCGCTGGCCAAAACAACCAGCTTCCAAGAATTATGAAGTTGTCAACCTATATCTGTCTTAAATAGAGCAAAGGTGATGTAATCACTATGAGCCTATCAAGTGTAAAAACCATTTATATGTAGTCATATAAATTACAATGGATTATGTTCATCTGAGAATATGCGGTACCTATTAATGGCTGGGTGAGTCACAATTCGTTACCGTACAATTGATTATGTTAATCTTACACAATCGAACGCATCATACCTTTATTTTGAATATTGGTCATCAAAGCCTACCTGTTAAATGAATATTACATGGCCTATATTGACAGTGTTGGTGTTAATCACATTATAGTTAATTCCTCTAGTATAAATTGTACATATATGCAAGAAATAAACGGGGACAGTTCCCAGAAAAAATTGCAAGGAATGGTGCGTAAACAGCTCCCGTTAGACCACCTTAGATTTAGTTGAGGACACAACACTCAATCGTTGATAATTGAATCTGATTAAAACACAAATGCACGACTTTTCATTACCTTCTCAAGATTATTTTTGCTTAATATGGTCTATAGAAACACACTTGGGAATTCTGGTCAAATAATGTAACATTTTAATGGTATCAACACAATATTTCATAAATGTTTAATAATCCGCAATCTCAGAGCTCCAATTCAAAGAGTTTATGAGGCCACTGCTTGATATAAGAAATTGGGTAAGGGAGAAAATGGAAGAGAATCTGGGAGGCCATTAGCCAGAAGTGGAGAAACAAAAACTGGAGCTATTGCATTGTTATTAGCAAGGCAAGCTTACTTGAGAGCAGAGTTTGGTTGCTGATCATGTTTGCTCAAGTGAAGTTGGCATTTCATAGGCTGACCTGTAAAATACAAACAGAATACATTATATAATGAGCACTTTAAACAAGCATGATGACTTTGTTAGAAAGCTACTGAATAATATAGGATGCTATTTTCATGAACAAAGTCTTTTTTACAATAAACAATACTTAATTGTCAGTCTTTATTACATTGATTAAATGGCTTTGCAGTTCTATTGTACAGCTCTTATCAATGGTGTTCGGCTTGTATTGCATCTTGTACAGAATGATGTTCAACATTTCGCTCCACATTCTGTGTGCTTCATTAGGAACCGCAAGCGAGTCTATTTAGTTCAGTTCCTTAAGTTCCCAATACATGGAGTGAAACGTCGGACATCATGCTGATACCAGATGCAGTACGATCTGAAAACCACCTGGAGAGCTAAAATAAATAATGGTAATGGGCCTGCGAATGTAATCTGGCTTACCATCCAGATAGCGATTGTTGTATTTTTCATAGGCTGTAATGGCATCATCTTTCCGCACGTATACAACCTCCGCAATGCCAACCTGGACCAGGCGGGCGCGCTTGAGTGCTCCATAAGCACTAAACAGCTCCTAAAAATACAACAAAAATTCCACACTCTTACTTTTAAATCTTCAATGTGGCCAAAATTGTGCTATCAGTATCATTTCATGAGATTAAGAATCGGATTGAAAATTTCATAGAAAAAGTGTAACCCTTTGTGTTCGAGGATGGCCCATTGAAAGGAGTTACAGCAATACTTATTACATACAGTGACGGCCCAAACAACAGGGGGCATCACTTTCCCATCCACCCTGCTACAGAGAAAAGTTAATCAAATGACAGTCACATGGAGCTGGAATTTAACCACATTCAGTGCAGATGCCAAATTAATGTGATGGGGTTTTTGTGTGTTAGTTGTTGGTGACCGAGCCGAGACCATTACAGCACTAGACTTGAAGACCTGGTTTCATTGCGATAAGCTTTCAGGATTCATCCCAGGGTATAAGTCGCGTCAGCTCGGCACTAAACTCTTAGGCCACTTTGCTCACCTCAATTCCACACTTATTTAAAATACCAGCATACATGAAACAGTCGCATGTTTTTCTAAGAACCAAAATCAGGTCAAAATACAATCAAAGCAGCAAATATCCACACATGCGACACATTTTTCCAAAGAAATTACAGTAGACTCGATTATCCGTGTGCGGTTTATCCCATTTGCGGATTAACCGCGCACCTGATATTTGTACATAAATTAATAACTCATTGATTTTCCCTTAAGCCCAAATTTATAATATAAAAACTGCTAAACATTGCTATTCCTGAAAATGTTAATTACAAGTCACGTGCTGAAACCAAAAAAAATGTGCTCTGGTTAATCCGAAATCCACGTGATTGCTTCTACAATACAGACACTGCATATCTTTACATCAATTGTGGTGGGAATTTGATTGAAGTGGTTCTGCTGCCATCCACTTGTAGTGGGCAGTCTTCTGCGTGGGAGCAGGAAAGTGTCCACAGAGCACGTTCATCGCTCAGCCGATTATTTACGACAAATGTTTTTGTTCATTAACAAACATTTTCTGAACCGAAACATAATTTATACCTATATTAGTGGCTTTTGGCATAGAAATCCACAGAAAAGGGATATTTTTGGATCATCCGTGATTTTGAATAATCCGCGGCCGTCCTCCCCGTCATTAACGTGGATAATCGAGTCTACTGCCTTTAATAAGGACCACATCAGAGCCCATTAAGACAAAAGTCTTTTTGTAAGAAGAATCTTGAAGGTACAAAGAAATATCGAACAAGGTCCTTCAATCCTTGCTAAAACTAAACAAACATGTTTTTAAAGTTGTAACTTTGAAATTAAAATTTCAGACGGTAATTTTCAAGGTGAACCATGTTAAAAGCTAATTTACAATGAAATATACGTACAACAATGTCTTCCTCGGATACTTCAGGATGGAGGTTCTCCACTGTTAGCTTGACCCCTTCCAGTGGGCTTGGACCTGTGCTGGAAGCAGCTTTCTGAAGAAAAAAAATGCTTTGGGTCATGTTTCTATATATATGTAAATACAAACTCTTGCTGGTCAATACTGCACATTCAAATATCAGCAGCTTAACCTTTTTTCAAACCTCAATTTCCTACCGGAATGGTCTGTGGCTTGGGGGTGAACATCTCATTACGAAGATCCATCTGACGTGAAGGCCGAGATGGGGGTGTAGGGGCAGATCGTGGTGGGGCTGGAGGAGTGTAGTAAGACTGGTTTGGCACAACCTTTGTCCATCCTTTCAACCCCTAACAAAGCAAATACAGTTGTTTAACATCTACATTTCAGAAAAAACGAAGCTTGTGGTCACTGTACATATTTCATAAGATGCTATCATATAAAATATTTAACGTAAATGTACTTACTTCATCAGCAGCCCTTTTATTAATTGCTGCCATTTTCATGTTAGGATCTGTATAGGCTTCATCTTCCATATTATATTCATTCTGAAATATACAAAAGAGAGTATTATCTATTATTATAAATATACCCACCATTTTTCAACTGGAAATTGCTTTCTTCTTACACAAGAGAAACTAAACATGTGGAAATAAAACAAAATTACAAATTTATTTTAAGGTCTTTACCTGCGGTGGTTCACTCTGCATTGGGCGGTTTACGTTCATTCCAATGGTCCGTGTTAGCCCAATTTTTGTAGTGGTCATTCCAGGTCGAGGTGCAGATCCTTGTCCAGACATCATTGTGGGTTTGGCCAAGTATTCTTGTCCAGTATTAGCACCTGGTCTTGATGTGTAACCCTGTCCAGACGTGACTACAGGTTTATCCAGGTATTGCTGTCCAGGCATGTATAAATTCTTATAATGCATTGCTGGTTCTGACATATAACCTTGTCCTGATGTAGGCCCAGGACCAGACATATATCCTGGTCTAGGCGGGACACCTGTGGAAGCCTGCTGTCCAGTCTGAGGTTTTATCCCTGGTCCAGATTTCTGAAAAATGGAAAACATGCATCGTTTGTAACCTCTGTACATTTTCAAAGCTTTTAAATATATCTATGTTAATGGTACAATTATTAGGTTATATTTAATTTTAAATACAGTATTTAGTAAACAATGGGAGTTAACTATGCACTATATTTGTTTTATGTCTCAAATTTACACCTTTAATGCTTCTCACTCACACCAAAAGCATGCAGATATATCAATACAAGACTATACACCAAATCTAGAGTATATTCTGATAGCATATTCATTATAGGAAGGGTCCCGTTAAAAGTTAAGGATAGATTACAATTAACAATGTTTTATATGATTCATTGTCAGAAAATTCACCCACATGCTAATTTCTCACAAACTCACCATAATGGTCTTGCTGAGGCCCAACCCATGGCGGAAGACCGGTGCAGCTCCTTGAGTAAACTGCGGCGTGACGGCAGCAAAATTTTGAGCGGGCGCAGCGACTCCATTGCGACTGCCGCTCAGTTTGAGGCGGGCATCTGCCATCCTGTTATCAACCCTTGCGGGTGCGCTTCCCACCACCGGCCCTGCCACAGGCCCACCCAGACCTCTGCGGGCACTCAACAGCTTCTGCCGTGCATCCATCACCCGTTGCGTGGGCGGCTTGTTTGTCAGCTTCGCCCGTGCGTCAACAATTTTTGCTGATCCCAGCCTCTCGCGAGCATCCCGCACCAGCAGTGGTTGTGGCCGTACATCGCTCGTGCCCAGCCTGGCCCGGGCGTCGAAGGGGCGAGACAACAAAGGCCACACCCCGGATGGGCCCTGGTTGACGCGCCCGCTGTATGGTGCAGGGACAGTGTCACCCAGTCTGGCCCTCAGGTTAACATTTGTGGGTCGGGGCCCAGTTCTGCAAAGGCAAAAGGCAGAAGTACAGAATTGAGCAGCAGGGTGGTGCAGTGGTAACAGCAAAAAAGGGCCTGGACATTGTATGGTGTCTTGTTATGCATGGGTTTCCTCCCATAGCAAAACAAAACATACAATGTAACTCCTATTAGCCAAACATCTCAATGATGAAAATCACCTGCTAGTTACATAACCCCATCCTGCAAAAACTTGGCAGAATCCTCCTGAAAGAGGTGAGGATTTCATAGATAACCACGTATAATAATTTAGTCAATGTATGGGCATAACATGTGTATTTTGGGGTAATTATTTTAATAATATAGACAACTAAGCATGATAAATCCACAACTGGACAAAGGATTTTCAGCCATGCGATGCAACAATTCATTTGACACATTAACTGATCTCATTGCTACATCTAAGCAGTAGACGTCCTCTCTGGCATGGTCTCTCCTTTGACAAGCAACCATCATCCATTCCTTCCAAAGACCTGGCCTGCCCAAGCTCACTTACTTTTAAGTCAACACGTCTCTAATTAAATCTTGACTTAAAGCTTTCGTGACTGCAGGAATTCATACTCTTGGGTCTTTTGGTAAAGTCACGTAGTTACGTGACTTATCTACGTGCCTTTACCGAAAGAATACGTCTCCAATTTGCGCATGTTCTCCGATCCACGTGTTCCATCGATAAGTGTAACCCCAACCATGCACTTTTTATAGATGCTTATGAATACATTTTGAAACAGCATAATACCTGCAATAACATATGGATCTAAAACATTGGACTTTGGCAACATAGAACTAAGAGATGAAACGGCACTGTGTATGTCCAATATGGTATACAGTTTAACACGTTGGCTCTCGCGACCAATATCATCCATAATATCGATTTTTTGGGGGGGGATAGCGTAAATATAAATCTGTCGTTAAACCCGCCACCACCCCACACAGTCAATCAGTAAAGGTTTGTCACGTAAACAGAACATGCCTTTACTAGTACAGCACACCGGTGGATGGTATACAGTACATTACTCAGTAGAGCAGGACTGCACCGTACATTTGTAAATTAACTTTTCAATTTTAATATATTCCAGTGAAGATGATTCCACCGATTAAGGCCTCCCCACGCCGTGTCGGTAATGGGATACTTAAGCACGACTTATCAGTGGGGGATGAAGAGAGAAGCTACCTGTGGTGGGGGGGAGGGGGGAGTCTGGGCTCATAGCGCGCACCGCCTCAGTACGCGCAATTTGAATTAAAACAAAAAACCTCATTCCAATGCAAGAAAGTTTTTTTTTAATTAGAAACTCGGCGAGCCTCACCGGATGAACAACTGACAATGCGATCATTAGCGATGTATCGGCAAACTACACTCGTCAACATTCTTTAACCCCAACACAACCATGTTTAACACGTAAGCTTTCGCGACCAATATCATGCATGACACATTAATTTATTTGTTGTTGTTGTTGGGTTACATCGCGTAAATAGAAACCCCCTGCAGCGCTAAGACAAATAACTCGGGTGGCTCATTTGCGCGGCCTAGGCGTGTGGGCTTCGCGCCCGAGCGGTGTAACAGGAGTGGCGGCGCTGCACAATCGCGGCCTACCCCCTGCCCACGCGCGGTCGTCGCTTTCGGCCCCGCGGTGGCCTCTAGTCGCGATTTGATCACACACAGAGAGAGAGAGCCGTGGTCACGGCGCGAGCGAGCGAGCGAGAGAGAATCTCCCCACCTGCCCTTCACTTGGATGCCGCGCTTCCTGATGATCTCGTCCAGCGACAGGTCGGCCATCTCGGATGCTCGCACAGCACCACGCAGGGCATGCCGGGGGCGCCGGAGGTGACGTGGAGGGAGGAGAGGGGTGTGGCTCGCGCACCCCTCCCTCGCCTTTCATTCCTTACTCCCTCCTTCTCCCTACTCCCCCCCCTACTCCCCCCCCTACTTCCCCCTCCCCCTATTTCCCCCCTCCCCCCCTACTTCCCCCCCTACTTCCCCCTCCCCCTACTTCCCCCCCCTCGCCCCCCTACTTCCCCCTACTTCCTCCCCCCTCCCCCCCCTACTTCCCCCCCTACTTCCCCCCCCTCCCCCCCTACTTCCCCCCCCTCCCCCCCTACTTCCCCCTCCCCCTACTTCCCCCCTCGCCCCCCTACTTCCCCCCCTCCCCCCCTACTTCCCCCTACTTTCCCTCCTCCCCCCCTACTTCCCCCCCTCCCCCCCCTACTCCCCCCTCCCCCCCTACTTCCCCCCCTCCCCCCCCTACTTCCCCCTCCCCCTACTTCCCCCCCTCCCCCCCTACTTCCCCCCCCTCCCCCCCTACTTCCCCCCCTACTTCCCCCTCCCCCTACTTCCCCCCTCGCCCCCCTACTTCCCCCCTCCTCCCCCCCTACTTCCCCCTACTTCCCCTCCTCCCCCCCTACTTCCCCCCCTCCCCCCCCTACTTCCCCCCTCCCCCCCTACTTCCCCCCCCTCCCCCCCCTACTTCCCCCTCCCCCTACTTCCCCCCCTCCCCCCCCTACTTCCCCCTCCCCCTACTTCCCCCTCTCCCCCCCCCTACTTCCCCCTCCCCCCACCCTACTTCCCCCCCTCCCCCCCTACTTCCCCCTCCCCCCCCTACTTCCCCCCCATCCCCCCCCCTACTTCCCCCCCTCCCCCCTACTCCCCCCCCTACTTCTCCCCCCCTACTTCCCCCCCTACTCCCCCCCCCCTTACCCATTCCCCCTCTTCTTCCCCCCCCCCTTCTTCACCCTCTCTTCTTCCTCCCCCCTAGTTCCCCCCCCTCCTTCCCCACCCCATCTCCCCCCCCCCCCCCTCCTGCATATTACCAGCATAGATGAATTAACACAAATAACATACATTTAAATAGGTTATGGGCGAATTATGGTACAAAGTCCAAAGCAATGTCAAAGATTGTCGGGCAGTTGCAGAACATGCGTGCCAGCAAGGACGTTCTATTGATTGTGATAATGTTTTGCGTAAAAACTAATTAACTGGCCAAGAAAGTTTCAAATCAAGATTCAAATCAAGACTAATTAGAAAATATATTGAAATTTAGAGAAATAGCAAAAAGTAATACACCATTTAGTTACGTACTTATTTCATTCACTAGCTTGTTAGCACGTCTTAAGACGGAAGCTGTAATATTAAAGATGTAAATTAACGTTTTATTGTGTGATTGTTGAGTAAACAAATTTTCGTTTCGGCTCCACCTTCTTCATGCGGAATGACGTCACTCGTTCATGATTATTAATGAGGGGGGGTCCATGTGGAGGACTCCACCTCTTCATGATTATTAATGAGGGGGGCTGGTCGATATGGTGTGACGTCACGCGCGTTACACAAAGACATTCTTGGCTCATTATATTAGTAAATTATATGTTGGTTAACTGTGACTAACTCAACCGGTAACGGGTAACCCATTGCAATGCATATGACTACATTAACTCCCCTCTAGTCATCGCACCTGATCGGCTCACAGTGATTGCATTCACTTTTGCTTCTCTATTTAAGCCCGAAACAGGAAGACTTGTTCACAATTCTTGAAAATCGCCTGATGAAGCTGGTTGTAATCACCAGTGAAACGTCACATTAATTTTGTACAGTGAGGGAAAAAAGTATTTAATCCCCTGCTGATTTTGTACATTTGCCCACTGACAAAGAAATGATCAGTCTATAATTTTAATGATAGATTTATTTGAACAGTGAGAGGCAGAATAACAACAACAAAATCCAGAAAAACGCATGTCAAAATTGTTATAAATTGATTTACATTTTAATGAGGGAAATAAATATTTGACCCCTCTGCAAAACATGACTTAGTATTTGGTGGCAAAACCCTTGTTGGCAATCACAGAGGTCAGACGTTTCTTGTAGTTGGCCATCAGGTTTGCACACATCTCAGGAGGGATTTTGTCCCACTCCTCTTTGCAAATCTTCTCCAAGTCAAGGTTTCGTTTGGCAACTCGAACCTTCAGCTCCCTCCACAGATTTTCTATGGGTTTAAGGTCTGGAGACTGGCTAGGCCACTCCAGGACCTTAATGTGCTTCTTCTTGAGCCACTCCTTTGTTGCCTTGGCCGTGTGTTTTGGGTCATTGTCATGCTGGAATACCCATCCACGACCCATTTTCAATGCCCTGGCTTGAGGGAAGGAGGTTCTCACCAAAAATTTAACGGTACATGGCCCCGTCCATCATCCCTTTGATGCGGTGAAGTTGGCCTGTCCCCTTAGCAAAAAATCACCCTCAAAGCATAATGTTTCCACCTCCATGTTTGACGGTGGGGATGGTGTTCTTGGGGTCATAGGCAGCATTCCTCCTCCTCCTCCAAACACGCGAGTTGATGCCAAAGAGCTCCATTTTGATCTCATCTGACCACAACACTTTCACCCAGTTGTCCTCTGAATCATTCAGATGTTCATTGGCAAACTTCAGACGGACATGTATATGTGCTTTCTTGAGCAGGGGGACCTTGCGGGCACTGCAGGATTTCAGCCCTTCACGGCATAGTGTGTTACCAATTGTTTTATTGGTCACTATGGTCCCAGCTGCCTTGAGATTATTGACAAGATCCTCCCGTGTAGTTCTGGGCTGATTCCTCACCATTCTCATGATCATTGCAACTCCACGAGGTGAGATCTTGCATGGAGCCCCAGGCCGAGGGAGATTGACAGTTATTTTGTGTTTCTTCCATTTGCGAATAATCGCATCAACTGTTGTCACCTTCTCACCAAGCTGCTTGGCAATGGTCTTGTAGCCCATTCCAGCCTTGTGTAGGTCTACAATCTTGTCCCTGACATCCTTGGAGAGCTCTTTGGTCTTGGCCATGGTGGAGAGTTTGGAATCTGATTGATTGATTGCTTCTGTGGACAGGTGTCTTTTATACAGGTAACAAGCTGAGATTAGGAGCACTCCCTTTAAGAGTGTGCTCCTAATCTCAGCTCGTTACCTGTATAAAAGACACCTGGGAGCCAGAAATCTTTCCGATTGAGAGGGGGTCAAATACTTACTTCCCTCATTAAAATGCAAATCAATTTATAACATTTTTGTTATAAATAAACCTACCATTAAAATTATAGACTGATCATTTCTTTGTCAGTGGGCAAACGTGCAAAATCAGCAGGGGATCAAATACTTTTTCCCTCACTGTAAATGTTGTTGGTTTACTCTCCAATACATTGGTCTTCTGTCGTAACTAATTTGCACGTTTTGTTTACGTGACAAACCTTACTAATTGGCTGTGTCGGGTGGTGGGTTCACGACACATTGATATTCAGGCGATCTAATCCAAAACGCCTTTATTATGTATAATATTGGTCGCGAAAACCTACGCGTTAAACTAAGTGCAGTGAGCGCTACACGCTACACGAACCATCGAGTTTTTTTAATTGTTTTTTGTAACTTTCTGACCCAACCTACTGGACATCTGTAAAAAAATAAAGTTATAGCTCATCGGATTCCTCCAGCATAAATAAAGATTCAGATGTTCTCGTCGTGGCCAGCAGACCTCGACATTGGCTTTTAGTTTCTGAAAATATTGCGGCAGGCAGAAGACCACGATGTGGAGACGAGAGCTCAACATAACCATCGGGTCCTGGCGGAGAATATGTCCCAAATGTAGATAAGTAGACGCTGTCTCCTTCAAATGTTTGTCTCTTCGAGTGAATAAAATAAATATATATTTTTACACAACCGTCAGCCCCACGACAGTTCTGTGGAGTGCATCACTCCAGCAGCATTGATTCAAGCATAACAGTCCAGAGTCTTGCTTCTAATTTACTGAATCAATGCTGCAGTGTCAGTCATTGGGGGGCTATACTTCAACACACTTGTTGGTGAAGGGGAGTGATTCTGATATCACTTGCCAGTGATGTGAGCTTAAGGCTAGGTTTTGAACTCCGGTACGCTAACCCCTGCACCCTTGTGCAACTCGGTGGGAATCATGATGTTTCCTATTGCCCGCTTTCACACAAAAAATAGCAGAAAATATGTGAAACTAAACCATGAGTTGCTTTCACAATTTTTGTAATGACATGGCCCAACTGCGAACAAGTGCCACCTTTCCAAGAATCGAAATCTATCGACCGCTAGTGTTGTATCCACATGCAATTTCACATCTTGTGTTGGCATTACAGTATTAAATCTCCCAAAATGTGTTGTCTGTCGACTACATTTACTCCAGAACCGTATATGTAGTTGTTTTCCATAGGTGTTGATTTTCATCCACATTTTTTTAAATGCTAATTTTGAGATTGACTCTTCAGTGATTCAGCTGCTGGTCACCCGATTCACAAAAACGGAGGCACCATCAGGGCGACCACCACTCTGCTGCTCGTGGCACAATCATCTGGCTCGACCAGCCGAATGTTAAATGATGGTTGTTGTTCTCAATGAACATGAGGAATTTAAATAATATGTAGGAGTTATGGATAGTACGTGAACGTGTTTCATTTGCACACAGAGGAGTGCCTCGACAAGCACAAGTGAAGAGAGTGTGGTGCAAGAGAGTGGCCGCGCGTGAAGGAGAATGCTTGAAGAGCCCTTCTTGTTAGCCCACTCTTCTGTTCGTGTGCCGCCCCATCATCGTCGAACAGAGCTTCTTTCAATCCAAAAGCCCCACCTAAGTGGCAGCCGTGAACTGGCATAGCCTCACACATGGCTGGTCCACTGCACAAATAGCCCCAAAAAAACCGCACACACGCATAGGGGAGTGTCGATGGCCACGATCTGTGTACAGTAATAGCCTCGATGACTTTCAGATGTGAGAGTGGAACGCGAGGGGTGGTGCTCCAGCCACTTGATGACGGCTACACCTCAAGGGCTCTCGCCTCCCTTAAACAACAGGAACTCAAATCACAGTCACAATTGAGTGTATCAATAATCAGCGCCGCATTGAGCCTCCTGGATACAATTGTAAGGTTACTATATATGTGTGTGTCTGTGGATGCTGTATTTATTGAGGAAATATTGTTACGTTATCGAAATGTGTACACGGCTTCTATCTTAATGGCTTAGGCTAATTCACAACTCTCATTTGCTTTCACCTTCGAGAAAAGCTTGTTGTCAATGTCTATAGTCAGTTTGATAAGTGTGTGATTTATTTTCATAACCGTATTCTAGAAGATTACCGCAAGAAGTGTTTTTGAATTTTATTGCATTTCGTTTTTGCCAATATCAGAATCCGGATGACTTTGTTTTGAACTCCCTGCCTATGCCTATAGTGGCATAGGCAGTCTGTGGTTCGGCATGGCTTACTGCTTAGCCCTTATGGGGGAGAAAGTTAGACCTCACTAAAAGGCGTGATTGAAAATCTGTTAGATTAAAGATTGAGCAGCATTGATCAGCGAAGATAAACAATTTATTGAATGTGTGTTTTTTTTACATATATTGCTTTAAAGAACCGAAGTATTAACATAACACATAAAAAAGGTAAATCCACAGCCTGAAATATTTTGTTCGGTTCACTTCTAGCAGAAGAGCCTTCACTCGGGGGGAGCTCAAGAAAACCCCAAAGGAATTTGGCCTACTCTTCCACGCTATGAATATGATACGTCCTTCTAAAAATCTACTGACCATGACACGCTTCCTCCTGCTCATCAGGTCATGTCAGAAGGCCGTGCTGATGCCTCGGACCTGTCGTCGGTTCCAGTCCTACGCCTGCCTGCGATCAGACTCAGCTCGACGCATCCCATCACGGAGTATTCAGCACTACAGAGGCATGCGGCTCCGCACGCCGGCGGCGGTGCATCCTCGGACGACGCCCTGGCAAGAAACCTGCAGGGCGAGGCGTGGCAGCTCCGCTCGGAGGTGGTGCACGGCCTGAGGGCAGAAGTGGCCCAGCTGCAGAGCGACTTTAGGCAGCTGCGCTCGGAGACCGTGGAGAGGCTGGTGGCTGAGCAGGCGGCCCGAGTCGCCCTGATGGACTCGGTGCGTGCGGGCGGAGACGCGGTGGCGGGCATCGTGTCCCGTCTGCAGCGTGCCGAGGGGACGCTGCACGAGGAGAAGCTGGCTTTCGGCACCCTCGCCACTCGCACTAAGCAGCTGGAGCAGAGCGTGGTGCAGGCATGCAGGGCCCAGCTCGATCAAAGGTAGTTAAAGTTGCCACCTGTGCTGGGCTTTCCTCCATCTGTTTGTTTCATCATCATCATCACGAGCAATGGGGTAGATACGCTGTCATTTGTTTCCACTTGTCTGTCTCGTGCCAAATTTTCATCCTAATTGTGCTGTCCTCATCAGGTCATGAGGCGAAGTTTCCATTCGGATTCCAGAGTTTCATCTGAGATCCTTTCAAATAACTTCTACGTTGGAAGTTAATAATTGTGCGATGAAAAAACTGCTATCTGCCATCTCATTGCTATTCTTCTCTTCTGTCAGCCATCAAGAGTCGGTCGATCATGAGGCTGGATGAAATGTCTCCACTTTTCCGGCAATAGCTTCATGCAGTCCCACACAACGTCCCCTTTTAACGTCGTCAATCGATCTTTCATTGCTGTCGGCCTCTTCGTTCTACCCTGTACCGTAGGGGAAAGTGGAATTCCCAGCACTGTCTCAGTGCCACCTATGGAGATAAGCAAACCGTACCTTTAAAACTAAACTATTTAAATGTTACCAGGTAAGGCCCACTGAGCTATATAGCTCTTTTTCAGAGGCGACCTGGCCACAAATGATAGCTCAACGAAGTGGCTGATCACGTGGGAAATTTATAGCAGCCAAATACTCTAAACGCATGTTTCTAAATGTGGAAGGGAAAACTGGAGGGGAAAAAATCCACGCGACCACGGGGAGGGCATGCAAACTCCAGACATACAGGCGTCATGCTCGGGATCGAATCCACACCCTCCTTTAAACCAGTAGAATGAAATAAGGGGCCGTCCATAAATGACGTCACGCACCTGGGGGGGGGGGGGGGCGGTCAGACATTTGTGACGATGTGTGACGAGGGGGGGGGGTTTGAGGAATGTGACGTCACATCAAAATGCGCAACTTTAAATAAATATAGACAACACGTTCGACTTCATTAAATAGACTTTTTAATAAATGTTTTCTCCTACAACATCAGAGTGCAGCGCCACATTAAATACGCACTACAATGACAATAGTTTAAAGCGATTTGAAGCATATTCTTGGTTCTTTCGGTAAAGTCACAATAAAATTCTCACTAGAAGGGAAACAAAAAAATAATAAATATATAAAACAATAACATATTTTTATTATTTTATTGTTTCCCTTCTAGTGAGAATTTTATTGTTTTATATTTTTATTATTTTATTGTTTCCCTTCTACGTGACTTTACCGAAAGAACCAAGAATATGAATCCCTGCAGTCACGAAAGCTTTAAATCGATTTGAAGCATGTTTTATATATTTTTTGGGGGGGGGGGGCAGAGCTTTGTGACGTCATATTTTAGGGGGGGTCTGACTTTTTGTGACGCCGTGTGACGAAGGGGGGGGGGGGGTCAATAAACGACCAAAATCGCGTGACGTCATTTATGGACGGCCCCCAAACACCTCGCCACTGCGGCGAGAGAGGGCAACTTTTGGACCGGTGCGTATCAATCAATGATCGTTATAATAATTTACAACAACAAACAAAAAAAATCGTTGCAAACGTTTACGTGCTCATTGTGCCGCGCAAAAGGCTGGCGGATATTCGCGAGGATGTGGGCGAGAGGCGTCGTGGGGAGGTGGACCTGAGGCGCTCCCTGGCGGAGCTGGCGCGCGAGTCCCGGCAGACGCGTGGCCACCTCGAGGATCAGGCGGCGGCGCTGCAGCTCCTCCACGCCGAGATGCGACAGCTCATCCGCAGGAGCGACGTCGAGGCCAGATCAGCTGTGAGCACCAACAGCAGCGGCAGTAGTACCATGACCACGGGGTGGTGGTGGTGGTGGGGCATAACTCAATTGTGTCACAGAGGTGGGGGGCATAACTCAATTGTATCACAGAAGGAACCTTGCTGTCAACGAACGATGAGATGCGGTGTACATTAGGGATGAGTTTTGGATTTTGAAATCTTCTGATGTTAGAGAGAGAAAATGTTAAAGACGAGTTTGGATCTCTTTTCAACATTGATTAATTAATTAATTAAAGTGTCTTCGTGCGAACAAATGTGGCGTCCTCCCCCCAATTCTACGTGACCCCACTTTTGGAGAGAAGAGCGAGAGCATAGAATTACAGGACAACAATGGATTTTACTTCACAGCTCTCTACTCCCCACTACGTAGCCCCGTAACCTTTAACAACCGGTTATACATGGTGGTCACCCATCCAAACACTGTCTAGGCTCATGCCTGATTCGTCTACGAGATCTGAAGAGATGGGTTAATTATATACCCAGGAAAATATTTGAATCTCCAGATTTTTTTGGAGTGCGTTTGTATGTAATGTATGTATTACAGGATACTGGCATTATTTTATTTGTAAAGATCTGTTTGAACATAGTAACACCTGTATGATTGATGGAAAGGGTAACGCCTATTCTTTTTCAATCATCTTGATACTGGCAAAAGGGGCTCGTAGAATTAATAAGGGATATAATTTAAAAACCATCGTAAATGTGTTGTACTCAGAGATAACCAAAGCTTGAAAATGTATCATTTTGTACCCCTAAAAGGAAAAATGTGGATACATTGACATTGCTTGCACTGATCCAGTCATTTAAATGTAAATGAAAGCTTCAATGCTCCTTACCGATAATCATACATGGAACCATTTAGCGCCAATCCTCAAGTCCATACATTGACTTTCCTTTCTTGGCCTCAGAACAACTTGTGGCATCTCTCATCTCGATTGATTTATTTTGGTTGCAATTTCTACGTAATATTAAAACCAATAACTACACTTTCTCTAAATGCACCTGCTTTTACTTCAGGTGGAGACGTTGCAGAGAATAAGTGGAGAAAGGCACGTGACGGAGTACTCCAGCAATCATTTGAAAAGCATGCTTGAGCACAGGTACAAACGTGCAGCATTAATTGCTGCTCGAAAACGAATTCTATTAAGTCCATTACTTTGACAATAAAATTGATTACATCTTCGTTACGATTAAAAAGCAGATTCCAACACGAATTTGTCATTTGCTTCCCGATGCTACAGACTAGCAGACCGACTGGCATTAACCCACACCAGTCTTAGCCACGTTATTTTGAGTAAATCTATGATGGATTTAATGGGTTGGTATATTGCGTGCTGTAAAACATTTCGTGAATGTAGATTTTAAAACAATATATTTGGTGTGATTGGTGTGTAATACACAAGGTTAACCATCATTTTCTGCATGATTATTATTTGTTTCTCATTTTTCGTAGGTTTTCTGATATCCACAATGCATTGCTAGATATTCGAAACAAGCAGGCAATGGTGGAATCTGAAAAAAGAAGTCTGATTCAGACTATGGAGGCAAGGTAAGTATCGATATACACACATATATACGTGTATATAGCTCAAACTTGATATTACAGATGTAATGGTGCAATGATTAGTTGGTTGATATAGATATTGAACCTACATTTTGCTGTATATACATCGAATCAAGCGTGTAGGACCTGACTGTTGAATTCGTATGCCTTGTATGTAACATATTTACATGACAACTGCTGTCACTAGAGGCTGCTACAGTTATCACAATATACCAAAAAAGATTCTTGAATACAACCTCTGACCCAAAATCTTTATAATTCATCAAATCGCAAGGGATACACATTACATGAAACTTTATATACATAAATATCCACTTTTAGTTATTAATTCTGACCGCTGCTAAGGGCATTTGAGTACTTTCAGAGTTGTCATTCCATGTATTTTGCACTGAATCACAGCATTTAAACAAGACTTCTTCCACTGAATAACTGAGGTAACCTTCCATTTCTCTTCAATGTTCACGTGGATGATGATTTAATGATTGTACCATGTCTCTAATTTGTCTTTGGGATAGCACTGAAACTCCAGTACTGCACAAAACTCTTCACAATTGAATACCATATTATTCCAAGTTATAACCAGTGACTTGAACACATGAGAACAACGTTGCCAAGATACATTGTATCCCCATTTGTGACAAAACATATTAGCGGTTTGCCAATCGTCCCTAAATTTTCTGTCAATAGTTTCTGGTAAAATCAAAGCGTTAAGTACAACATCAGCAGCGACCATTTAGATGGATACAGCGTCTAAATCGGACCGCATCTCAAGACGCTGCACAGAAACAGCATGCCAATGGTAATGTCTCTGCCATGGATATCTCTACCCATCACCAGGCTGAATGAACTGAGCACAGCCCAAGTGGAGCACGACCGCAGGCACGCGGAGACGCTACAGGCCCTGCGCGGACACATAGAGGAGCGACAGCAGGAGACGGAGGGACAGGGGGCGCTCATGCAGGTATTTGGTGTCCCATCAAATGCAACGTCGTGCTCCCCTACATCACACAATGATGCGTTACGTTTTGTACAATGTTCTACTGCAACATCTAAATTGTTCTATTTGGCTGTTCAATTGTGTCCGACATTGTCCTATCTCGGAAGCCAAGCAGGGTTGACTTTGGATAGTGATTGGATGGGTGACCACCTTGCACAAAAGACAGGTGTAATGGGCTATACGTGAACATATTATACATATTTTAATACAAATATAATTTACAGCCTGTTGTCTTTCACTACTGGATGCAGATCTCCCTGTGCCATCTCAGTCATGGGGTTTCGACCATTCTTCACCGTGTTGGTTAGTGCATAGCGGTTGAGGAGGTACCTAGGACCAGCTCAAATATAATTTGGCACTGACATTAGATGTGGCCAGGAATACAACTCAGGTGGCTGGTTTCGTAGCGCAGTGCACTAATTACTGTACCAAAACTCTACCCCAAATTAATGCCCGCAAAACTATACCTCTTGGTTAAACTTCAAAGTGATTGCCTTAACTTTGAAGCGTTTACTATGTAGCCATGCAATGTACCTCTTTAAATGGAAATTTGTAGAATCTGGCCAGGGTTTCAGTTCGTGTGACATTATTTAAATGAATAGGCCGTACTGAATTGCAATGACTTGATTTGACTCAAATATAGAATCTCAGCATGCATTTCTGATGCCAGAAGTATTAAAAAGTTTTATTATTTTTGTAGGTCACGGTTGTTGGGCCTTGAGGGCTTACACTCCGGAGAATGTGGTGTAATATGGTGCTCTGTGTGGGTGTCAGGAGTGCTTTTATGTAAAGGTGCAAGAACAACACTTCAGTCATAGCTCTACTTCAGTGTGCAGCGGCAGAAGCCACGTAGTTTTTTTTTTTTTACAAGATGAGTCCTCAGCTATTTGAATTATAACTACATACAACTTTAAATATACAATTCGCACTTGACTGCAACATGAAAATGTGATTAAATTGTTTCATGTAACATTTCACACGTTTAACACATCACCAGAAATATCATTTTAGTTCTTTTTTATGAATCATTGGAATAATTTAAAAGTAATACTTTGAAGGATTTATGAAGGGAAAAAATCATAGCATTCTTTATTTTTCGTGTTAAACCTAGAATTATAATCCACCATATGCTGTTAACCATTGGCATCCAAAGCGCGCAACATGAACCTTAAAGTACGTTTGATGAATTCAGCATTGACAATGATCAATAGTCCATACAAATCTCAAATGAAAAATAGCTGAGGGCATGTTCACATATGTTGTTGCATCAAATAATTTAACTTCAATCAATAACAGCACCCTCTAGCCTATGAGAGGTGTAAGTAATAAAAAAAAGTAACCATTAAATTAACCTGCTTTGGAACGTGCTTGTTTTGATTAAATCCGGCCTGCAAAGGTCAAAGTGGCGAAATGAAAGCCGCTTTGAAGGTCGAAGTGGCAATTAAAAGACGCCAGGAAGGTGGAAGCTATATCACGGTTCGCCATTCGCACTTGAGTATTTTTTTATTTATTCCCACGCATCGTGATAACGCAGCTAACGAAGCGGGAAACAAATTAATTGGTGAATAGTGAAGGCGCGTGCCATTGGAGAGGGCGTTACATCAATACCTCATTCAACTTCATGCATTCTCAATGTATTCCTTATTCTACCTCTCAATGTATTGTAATAACAAGTGCGAACCTCTTTGCGCTTCCTTGGGAACATTTCAGCTTTTGTTTCATTTTCTTTCGCAGTGTCCATGTTAGTGATCCATGAACCATAGAAGCTAATATGCACTGACTGCAAATTTCTTCTTTACCAAATACATTACTGGTATGTTGCTTTTCGTTATCAAGTTCACTTGTCAAAAGAATACTACGGTTGTGTCCTTATAACCGATATCTTTAATTTGTTGGCACGGGAATAATCCAAAATGAAATGTTCACACGTCTCAGGGAAAGCTTTCAGAGATGGTGGATGAGGTGAGCGGGAAGATTGTTTCTAAGGAAATTAAGATGCGGGAGGAGGCTCTACAGAGGTTCCTGGCGATCGAGAAGGTAGCTATGCCAAAGTGCACAGCAAAACCCAACGCTGACAATCTCCGTAAATTATGAAGAAGAAACTTAACTCGACGAAACAGTTAATGCTGGCTGTAGAAATAAAACTAATAATTAATAAACAAAAATAGATTTGGAGCCAATAGGATTGGTCCTCCCATTGGGCCTTGTTGTACGATATCACCATCCGCGTATATAATGCACACACACAGCCTTGTTTTAAATCAAATCAAGGGTCACAATTGTGGCCATATTCATTTAGACAGCAGCACAACAATGAGTTCCATCTTCTTTACAAATCATTAGTACAGTGAAGCTACTTTCGCCTACTGCTGCCTTATGCCTCTGAGGCTTTAAGCCGTCCGTGATCACTGTGGAGACAATCTGGCACTGCCTAAGGACGTCAATGAATGTGCACAACAATGCAAAGGAGAAGTCAGACTGCAAAGTACATTATAAATCACTTGGTTTTTCATAGCTCAGATTACATAATCGAATTTAAAATGGCAGCTAAAATGAATTAACGTATTTTTGAGCTTATTAAATGCATAATACTGACGTAATTGTTGTGTCCAGCGCATGAGAGCTCTGGAATGTGGGCAGATGGCTTTTGAGAAAGGCCTTCGGCAAGACAACGAGAAGCGGCTGACGGCACTGCAGCGGCTACACCAGCAGGAGCTGACAGCTCTTCGTGATCTGCAGAAGGTACCAGCGACCGGCGCAATTTGATGCTAAATAAGGCAGAAAAAATGATGCACATGCGTGGCAAATGACAAGCTTTCCAATACGTATTTGCCCCCAGAAAAATCTGGTAATTAATTCGAGATTACCTTCTGAGTCGCCAAATGATATGATCTCACAATTGGGTATCATGGAGAGACGAGGCACGCATGGCATTTGACGCTATTATTGCCTTGGCCGAAAAGTCTTAGCCATTACCACTGGGTTTTTATCCCCAAAATTTGGGTCTCCATTAATAATTTAGCCCAGTTTTTTCATTGGAGGGTCATTCCATAATAGCAAGGCAACTTCATGCTAAAGTTTTGTTATTGGATCGTCTTTAGGAGAGCTATCGTGACCTTCCCTGTTACAGACGTACAGACACGTACCCAGGTTGCGTGTTCTGGGCTGTCCGACACGACCTTGACGATTTTTTAATGAGAAAAGGCTTGAAAGGCATGGCAAAGTGTCCCTATTAGCAACACAATTCTTTACTTGCATTTCAGTTGTGATTAATCGTCTGTCCTCGAGTTATTGTGACCCGATGTTAGAGACAGATAAATGGACAGACAGACGGACAGAGCTAATGCATTAATGCATTCAACCTTCGTTGGAGAGAACTAAAAAGCATTGTTCAATTTAGAGCACTTATTATAAATACTCTGATAATAATATTTTCAATGGGTGGCACGGTCGTTAGCGCACAGCGCTATGAACTCGAGAGCATGAGTATGATTCCCGGTCACGGCTAATATCGGTACAAGTGACATCTGAAGCAGTGCTGGGTCTACCCTTCAAAAACCCAAACAAGAGAGTGTGGTGAAGTATGGTCAAACACCCCCTATGGCTAACACAGCATGGGGAGGCATTCATTCATAAGTGCATTGACAAAGGACGAGGACACCCACTGCTGAGATTCCACAAATTGGTCTGCATTTTATCACCCCTGGAGAGATAATGACTTGAATGAACTCCTGTGACCTTCCAACTGTGAGATGATTATTCTGCCACATCATGGAAAGCGACATTTACAGTATTGACGCTGTTGGCCTCCAGCAGTTTAATCTTGCATTACGAAATGTGTGCAAACCATAGTCGTGATCGTGAAAGTTAAACTGATCACGGCAGGCATTACAAATGGTAAAGTTTCTCTTCAAGCATAAACTCACTGAGTGGCAGAACGTTATATACAGCATGAACACATGGTGAATGTGACGGTAGCGCGCAACATTTTCTTCCAAAGAACAGCTTGTCTAAACCTTCCGAGTGCTGTGTGTGAGGTGGAGAGCAACAGCATAATGCAACAGTACCGCAAGATGGATGAAGACGTCGCACGACTCGCGAGCAACCTTGACCGAAGCAGACACGAGCTGAGAAGAGTCGTCAAGGCAGAGATAATGAAAAGGTATCGTTTGCAATGAGCCCTTTCTCTCTCTCTCTGCCTCCACCCTCCAAAACATCGCAGGTGACCTCGAACATTGACATCTCTCGCGAAACGATTGCATCGTTTGCATGTAATCAGTGCTTCATTTCAGCCAACAAAAAGTTCAAGAACGCCTTTGCAGCATTCTAGCACGACACATCTATCCGTCATTATGGTCCTTTAAAAAAAAATGTTCATCAGAGTGTAGCAAAAAGAGGATGGAATGGTTACAATGGATAGGCGTAACTTGGACTCTGGCGGTCGTCATGATGGCGACCGCTTGTGTTGCGATCGAAACGTCGTAGTTTTTTGTTACTTTGTTATTTTCTTTGAACCTATCTACGTGACTTTACCGAAAGACCCAAAGAATATGAACTACAGGTGCTCTGTGATACCACCTAGTCAATATTGCACGTGTTAAATTAGCTCTTTATCCATCTGTGCATCATTTATGAATAGATGCTTAAACTAATACCTAAACCACAACAGGTATTGTAATTTATAATATATAATTAGACCCAGCAAAAGTATATATTATTTATTGTTTAATTAATGTTAAGCTCTCTGATATACTGTACCTTTACTCAATGTGGTTATTCAACTTTTAAAGCCTTATATCCTTATTCAGCTATTCAGAATATTAACATGAAGTGATGTCAGTTTTTGCTCCAGTAACTGTGAATTGTACTGTGCTTTCTTATTCTCTATGGTAGAGATTCTCAAGTTAAAGAGCTGCAGAAGAAAACCAATGAGTTGAAGGAACATCTTCAAGTTGCGATAACAGCCCTGCAGCAGGCGATAAGTGGGACCCAGCAGAGAATAGGCCAAGAGACAGAACGTGTAAGATGCAATGTATTCATAACTAGTTCATGAAGCCTGTCTTCACCAGGCAAACGTTTTGAACAAATATAATTAACCTGATATGGTTTTTAAAAAAATCTGTGGTAAGACACTAACTACTCCAAAAGTTTGTATTTTTCCACAAAAAAAAACACACAAAAATTGTTAACGACTTGATTCAACTTCTTATATTTAAAGACAGACCCATCGGAAACCACTGAATTTAAATATTCCGGGTTTTTTTGTTATTGGAAAGAACAAATATTCATGAACTTAATACTCTATAAAGGGAAGCTCCTATCTTTTACCATTTTCGAGGCGTATTTTTTCGTTAAAAACCGCTTTAATCCGAAATGTCTCAAAAACAATAAAAGATAGAACAATGGTTCTCCCTTTAATTATATTTGTTGTTTAACGTGTTATCAAACGAAAAAAATCACCACAATCTTATATTTAACGGTTTCTGAATGACACGCACAAACATGTTTATGGGGAACTTTCCTTCTGATCTATAACTGATCATCAATTATCACTCTATTTCTACACTTCTGATTGCATCTCTTGTATTTCTACATTGCTGATTGCATATCTTGTAATGCAGAGACACAATCTGTTCATGTGCAGGTAGGTGCTAGTTGGAATATTACGTCGTAGGATTGTGAGAGGCGGTGGCAGTTTGTGGAGGCCTTCATCGAGCAGTGCATTGACCGTGGCTAACGATGAAACAATCATTATCAACACATTTCACATATTATTTAACAGGATGACAACCTTATAAGTTGACCTCAATTATGTTTCGCTCAACTTTTATCCCATTCAAGTTCTGTTGTCCTATTCGTGGGTTCGCTGTGATAATAGCGCCCTCTGCAGACGAAACAGTGGGCGTGAAGGAGGGCGGAATACTTTATTTTACACCCATGTGGATGGCTCAAAAACAGTGAGCGTACACGTAACAATGATGTACATCAGTCATTATAGGCTGTGCGCCCAAGCATGCCACTGCCAGCAGCCCTCCTTTCATATCAGGTGGTCACGTCGAGGTTGGTGAGCGAGCCAGTGTAACAGCTTCAGGTGTTGCTCGGTGAATATCTAAAATGTTGCCAGTATTTTGGCAGGGTGGGCAGCGGTGTTACGTCGTCCATCGTTTGAAATCGGTGACTGCAGTCGCACTTGAAGGTCATTCTTAATCTTCCATCGGGATAGGAGCTGGCTGCCTCTGCCATGCAAATGATCTGATGCGGTTCAATTACAGATCATTGTGTGCACAGCAAAGTGGAACCCGAGAACCTTTTATGCGGCGTCGGCAAAAAGAGTACTTGTTAGGAACGCCAGCCTTGTCCCAGGTTGCTCTCCACTGAGCCTCTGGATTGAGTGAGGGCGTTTCAAGAGCTTGCGCTTAATTCTTAAGTGGATTGCTGTGCTTTAATCTTGACGTTTGGAGATTTCCAAAGGGGTAGCTACGATGTGGGTATAGACGTGGAGATGTTTGTGCATCTCTTACAATTCAGCAGACCATAAATTAAAATCACACATTATTGAAATCCAGAGGCTAAAAGCCTTGACTGTAATTTCATAGGTTCTCGTCGATTAGACTTGGATTGTGAAGCCGGTAAAGGTTCACCTCTCATGAATCGCATGTATAATTGTGCACTCTGTAACTAAAAGGGTCCTAAAAAAACCATTTCGCACAACTATGGAGAGCCAGGTGCATATTATTATTATGATTGAAGATCAGGCAATGGTGACCGGAGATTGTACCCCGAGCCCCCACGTGCACAGCAGAGCACGAGGGATGTCCCAAATTGAGATGTTGGGCCCTCTTCTGGACCAAGGAATTCAGCTGCGGTGCTGTGACGTCGAGGGTGTCCTCTGATCGCTATTGCAGCTGTTGTCGAGTCGCCCACGTCTCCGGAGGACAGAACACAACGCAGAGTACCTACTCATCGTCTCCGAACTTAATTATATTTTTTATTTCTGTTGTCTGTTTAGCCGACCCCCCCCCCCCTCCCGAAAGGATTCATGACGGGAGGAGATGGGACGGGGCGGACCGGCTACAATTGCCTAAAAATTTAGGGTTTTTTTTAATACATATTGGATTCATACCCGATACAGCCAATTAGTAAGGTTTGTCACCTAACCAAATCTGGCTGTCGCCTGATGAAGCTCGTTGTAACTACTGGCGAAACGTCGTGTTCAGATTATAAATGTTGTGCTCTCCAACACACCGGTTTGCTGTACTAGTAACGAATTGGCATGCTCTTTTTTCGTGACAAACCTTATTAAATGGCTGTGTCGGGTGGTGGCGGGTGTAACGACACATTTATATTTACGCGATATAACCCCCCCCCAACAGCCCCCCCCCCCATATTATGGATTCCCACCGCTTTGTGCAAACGCGCCCGTTGTTGTTGTTGCTGTACTGGGGGATTGCAGCTCGCCGCCACGATGACACGCGACATGCACGACTCGGCTGGCAGGAGCTCTCGGGTCCTGGCAGACGTCGACTCCCGGCTCGTCGCCCTCGCCTTGAGGGCTGCCGAGCACGAGGAGAGGTTTGAACAAATAACCGAGGAAGTGAGTTCACGTTGACACCACCCCCCTACCCCCCGTCAACCTCTCGAAGCGCGCGATGCCATTTAACGCCGTCTGTAATTCACCCTCCCCGTTGTGGCAGCTGGCACGGGGTGGTGGCGGCGGCGGTGGTGGTGGTGGGGGTGGTGGGGGTGCTGTAAACAGGCAGTGTTGCCAGTGGAAGGGGCATTTATGAGAGAGGCATCGTTGCACCGAACGGGAACGCTTTTTTTCTGTTGCTAAATGGATTTGGAGGTGTGCCAAAACCATTAGCTCAGAAAACACGCCTCTGGCTCAGTATGTTTGACACGATTTTCACTTTCCCCCCCCAATCCCTCCACAAAGCAATGACTCATGCACACTCACACTGCTACTACTGCTTATGTCACTACTGGTGGTTGTGGTTGTGGATTGGTTGCAAGACGATTAAGCAAATCAGTGGCAATAGGTTAAGCCCGACTCTTAAGTGTACAAACATAATTTTAAAACCATGTGTTCCAAATGATTACGTATGAACCCATGTTTTTTATTTTATCTTCTACAAATGTATGAGTTACAAACTTTGTACTGAATCGGACCAGTAATGGAAATTCAGAGCACCATAAACCAGAGTCAGCAAGTTTCTTAATAAGCGTAACCATTAACTCTCCTATGTGTGTTCCGTGTCTCTCTGAGGTGTGTGTTTCGTGTTGTACCGAAACATACACCTCAGCAGATAGACGCAGCACAACCATGAAACCCCTACACAGTAGTAGGTGTACATTTTTGTGCATGGTGATTAAAAGAAAGCAATTTAATATTGTGCACGACAATGCACAACACGGAACCTCCATTGCTTTTGAGCGATCAAATTTTTTTAAAAAAAAAACACACACGTTGACTCAGTGTGCATTGTCCATCCTTGCATTGTCCAGCGCATCGAGGAGGTCAAGGACCTGCGCAACAGCCTCGTGCGGCTGCAGGGAGAGGTGAGGACTTTGCTCCGGTCAGAGTGGACAGAAACGAACGTGCGGAGACGCAGCTTCGTTAAAAGAGGAGACGGCTTTGCAACGAGCTCACCGCTCAACCGCTGGGGTCTCTACCAAACTGTCAGGTGACCACGAAAAGGGGTAGAATGAATGTTTTACAATTGGGAAATGGCAGGGTAATGAGGTGCCGAGCAAGCACGGGTGAGTTTCTGAAATGTATTCCTGTGTTGCGGAAACGGTTCCCGTGCAGAGAGTTTGATAGTGTCAGCTCAGTGACCTAGAATTGTAAAAATCAATGATACGGTGGTATTGCGCCTGACTGGACTGAATGCAGCTCTGAGCTCATTCAAATATTATCAAAGGCAAAATAGAAGAGTTAGCATTCAAGCGCAGTTAGACATCGCCATCTGCAGTACAGGGCAAGTAAAACGGTTCCTGGTCTGTCATGTTGATGTGAAATGGCCCAAGGTATCTTGGTGTAAGTTTTTCCCTGATTGAACATTGATATTTGTATCGGTAGCAGGTTCTAACGACAAGGATGATGCTTGTAGCATAATTAACAGAATAAAAGATTAATAAAAATTATGATTCTAAAAGTGAGTGTGGTTTTAAAAAAAAATATTTCAATATTCCTAAGTGTAAAAAAATGCACATTCTCAAGCATGTTTTTCAGTAAAGAGGCACTAACGATTTTTTTAAAAGAAAGTATTGTATCTACATACGAATGTGATCCTAGATGAGGCACACCATTATTAATAATTGCAGGACAATTATTGTCAGCCTGCTGAAGTGCAATTATTGGATTTGTACCATTTTACAAGCATTGATCTTGAGCAATGTTTCCTGATCTTTCACCTTTTCCTTTTTCTCACTGTCAATAATACCATATCCAACTTACAATGGCACCGTTATCGAGAGCAGCGTTTGTTCGTCAAATTATTCAAAGAGATGTAGGCAGCAGAGTCAGCACAAGGTCACAATAAAATGCCATGTCACTTGGTCGGTAATATCTCTTCATTAAACAATTTTATCAAGAGAAGTTAGCATACCAAGTTTAGCACATCACGTGTGTGTACGTTCGTGCATGTGTATTCACGAAGAGTGTAGTGAGTCACTCATACAGAGATTCAATGATTTCTTGTCCTTCACGACTGTAATTTAATTCCAGGAACATTTGATGTTTCATCATTTGTTTCCGTCTCCTTTACACTATTTCATAACATTGCCATCTTGTTTGTACAATGTAGTTAATTATATCGTCCTAAATGTTGCACGAGTATAACATTTACATGTTAAAAGGTAATGGTATAGCCCTGCAGTATCTTGTTCACGCTCCCATCAGCAGAAGACCCTCCAACAGAGGGAGCTCTAGATACCTTTTAGAGAGCATTTGGCCTCTTGTTCCACGCAGGCCATTCGTTTTTGAATAGTCATGAGCACAAGTTAAATGTGATTACATATTAGATTCATATTGTGAGTTTTGAGAATTGGTATTGTTGAATGGATGCATCGTTACACCCGTAATATGCAAGGGTAAATAATTATACTTGAGTATATTACACACATTCATTTTCTGCTTCGGATACCTCAAAATGTAAAGTTATGAGCACCCGCGAGAGAGGGAGAGAGAGAGAGAGCGAGAGAGTGACTCTCATGAGCACGGGAGTTGTTCTCAACTCCCTACGTGTGTGAACAAAAAGCACCAGTTGCACAGGCGCAAGATAAACACGTGTGAGTTTGATACGGTGCCATTTCAGGTGGCTGCAATGGAAGCAAAAGCTGTTAAACCACCGAAGAAAGGCGTCTCCCAACCACCACGTTGATCCCACGTCAATCCGCGTCCACGTACGCTAAGGCGCTGCTTTGTTGCTCATTAAGGTACTCAAGCTGTCCTCCATAATCTACACAGAATTTGCAGCGTTTTGTCAGTCCCTTGTTGGATGATGGCCTTGGCATTCCGTGTCCATTACGAGTGTTTTTTTTACCTTCGCCGCGCTGGTTACTGTGCGGATTGGTGAAGTGGGTGGGGGGGGCGCGGCAGGACCGGTTAAGATATAACTTGCCACTGATGTTAGCCGTGGCCGGCAATGGTGGTGAGATGTTAACTACCTCGCTTGCTATACAGGATGTCGTGGGTTCGATCCCAACCCTGACACCTGTATATTTGGAAGTTTGCAAGTTCTCAACATGCGTTTAGAGTATTTTGTTGCTGTTAATTTCCACATGATAAGCCACTTCGTTGTCATTTGTGGCCAGGTCGCTTCTGAAAAAGAGCTGTTTAGCTCAGTGGGCCTTACCTGGTAAAAATAGAAAAAAGTATAAAGTAATATTTTTAACTTCTTTCGCACCATACGTAACCAACCGTACTAATTGGAGGTGCGAGTAACAACTCAGGTGACCAGGTTCATATCAATTATTGATTTAAAGCTTTCGTGACTGCAAGGATCCATACTCTTTGGTTCTATTCGGTAAAGTCACGTAGGTAAAAAATAAAACAAAAATCACGACGTTTCGGCCACAACACAAGCGGCCTTCATGATGAAGGCCACTTGATGATGAAGTGGCCTTAACGTCGTGATTTTTGTTGTTTTATTTTTTACCTACATGACTTTACCGAATAGAACCAAAGAGTAAGGTTCATATCATTTCTTTAGAACTGTTTTTTGCGTTTAGTTTGTTGTCCTTCCCCCACACCTCCAATTAACACGGCTGGCAACGTTCGGTGCAAACGAAGTTCAGCATACATGCATACATATCGCAGTGAGTGAATGACTCTGCTCCCCTCCCAACTCTACCCCAGACGTCTTATCCTGCGATGATTCAACAAAAGATGAGAATGAATTACGGGTTGATAATTTTATCAGAAATAATTACTGATAAAAAATATATTGGGCCAAAAGTAAAATGATGTGTGTATAATGTCCTGAATCGTTTCGCTAGAGATTGGTGAATGAAACAATATATTGAAATTGAATATAGTACTATTTCCTTCACGAATCACACTGGTTTGTTTCTTGTACACTCGTGTAATTTAATAAACTGTTCAACAGTAAAGTACAAATATTGACTCCGAAATGTGTCCTTGCATAAACACGTGTGCGAATCAGACTTCGTATGGCTGCAATCAGACTTCGCATGGCTTAATACAAACAACATCCAATTTTTGTCGAATTTTTTTATTTATTTCTATTTTACAAGGTAAGGCCCACTGAAGTATATAGCTCTTTTCAGAAGCGACCTGACCACAAATGATAGCTCAACGAAGTGGCTCATCATGTGGAAATGTACAGTAGCCAAACACTCTAAATGCACGACTAAATGTGGAGGGAAAAGCCGGAGAAAAATCCACACGACCACAGGAAGAACATACAAACTCCAAATATCCAAGTGTTAGGGTTGGAATCGAACCCACGACCCCTGTATACAAGGCGAGATAGTGAACATCTCGCAACCGTGGCGCCCCTAGGCTTGTCGGACAACTAGGCTAGTCGGACAACATAACCGTATTCTCTGCATTATAAGATGCACTCCCCCCCCCCCCCCCGTATTTTAAAGCAGAAGTTGCGGATACAGATGTAATGGGTTCAACTGAGTCGCAGACGTAGACTTTGGAGGCAACACATTTATTCAGTTCCAACACACGGGGTAACTTCCCCTTAACAGAATAACAACATCGGGTGGTGACCACCCGGCTAACTACACTAGTTACCACGTGACTGGTGTAGTTAGCCGGGTGGTGACCACCCGGCTAACTACACTAGTTACAACGTAACTGTTACTACGGACCCGGGACTACAACATCTGCCCAGGTCCACGTGCTGGAAGACTTGTTGAACGGAGATCGTAGACGAAGGGTTTCTTTCCTGGGATGAACAACAACAACAACAACCCTCGTCCCTCTCGGGACCCGGCTTTTATTCTCTGTGGCGTGGCCGGCTCCGCCCTTGGCCACGTCCACCTTCCAGAATCCCCGGGAAGGATCTGGGTCCCAATCACGTGACCACCCCCTAGCCCCCTCTTGGGGCCCCTCTGTCAACTTAACCAGTCACGTGTCTTCCCGGGTCAACCAGAGTGCCATGGCCTCACACAACCTTATCCGTTGGTCGGCACCCACACACCCTGTCCTGTAGGGCCGGCACTGTACTTAGAGCCTTGTGCCATCCAGCACGATTATCCAGCGCACACCGTGCCCCACTAGGGCCGGTACTATACCCACAACATGGTGGCATCGAGCGATGTCACTACACAGATGTGCTTGTGACCATATTTGTGTATATTTATTAACACCAGACACAAGTTTGTGGTGTGCCTCACTTTCCTGAGTGTCTCATAATATGGCAGATACAGTAGTCAAATATTCACATGTTACAGATGGAGATCCATGCACACATTTGGCATGATTGTGTCCCTTTTGTTCATTTATAATATTAAAAAAGAAATTATTTCCAGTTTCTGCTCTGCCACAGTGCACTCAATGTACATGTTTTAAATATTTTAAAGTTTTCTTATTTCCATATTCAACCACAAGTTCTGTTTACTAATTGATTTGTTTCTATATGATGAATTGGTGTTTCAATATTTTTTCATGGAGCAAAAAAAAAAGTTTTTATTGGCTGACATGCCCAGTTAGATTTTCTTTTTGTCTAAATTAAATGTTTGTGACACAATTCCATGCAAAATCTATTAACATCTTCTAAGCATGGCTGGATTATGCAATGCTAAAATTAAGTGCAATATCATTTCACGATCGTCACCTTCATACATCATCCAAAAATGCATATGGGTCTTCACCATTGTACACCGTATGTTACAATTTCAAAAAAAAAAATCTATTAATATAGTCTCATGTTGGTGAAGATGGAGCACCCATTAACCATACACATATACTTACAATGCATTTCTGAGCATTTAATAACTGCATATTGCTCCCTGAACGCTTTAAAAGGCAGGGCTCATCCAAACAAGGAAGAAAATTAATACGTATTCATGGGGGTTCTGGAATCATTTTCAGAATGCATTTGTCCTCGGGAGGCATCTAATGACCAGAACTCATGGAAGGTGTGCAGGCTGCGGTGCGCGCTAAGGGTGCAATGAGACGACGGGGCTCTGAAAGCAACTCCGCTGGAGAGGACCTGTCCTTTTATAGATTTAAAGCTTTCGTGACTGCAAGGATCCATACTCTTTGGTTCTATTGGGTAAAGTCACGTAGGTAAAAAAATAAAATAACAAAAATCACGACTTTTCGACCACAACACAAGTGGCCTTCATCAGGTGAAGGGACCAACCTGTGCGGAGGACAGTGTTGGAGTGAAAAAAGTCAAGCGCAGGTCGCCTCCTTTAAGCTGTGAGTGGGTAAACAGAAAAGACGCCTTGACAAAGGAATTAGCATAAAATGTAAAGCTGTGCAAGCTCGCAAATAGAATCAAAGATACATTAGCACCACCGTGAGAGTTTGGGATGCCACTAATTGAATGAATATTACTGTACCATTAAATGAATATACTGTACCATGCAAACCCACGGGTTTTTATCAGAGATTTGTTCACGAGGCAATCCAGATCTACAAACACAGACACAATTTCAACCGAGAAGATGGCTTCAAATTAAGCAACCATTGGAAAGATGTTCTAAATCGAACCAAACGTTAAAGGAATTTTTAATGGTACAGTAATATTCATTCAATTAGTGGCATCCCAAACTCTCACTGTAGTGCTAATGTATTTTTGATGCTGTTTGCGAGCTTGCACAGCTTTACATTTTATGCTAATTCCTTTGTCAAGGCGTTTTTTCTGTTTACCCACTCACAGCTTAAAGGAGGCGACCTGCGCTTGAATTTTTTCACTCCGACGCTGTCCTCCGGACAGGTTGGTCCCTTCACCTGATGAAGGCCACTTGTGTTGTGGTCGAAACGTCGTGATTTTTGTTATTTTATTTTTTACCTACGTGACTTTACCCAATAGAATCAAAGAGTAAGGACCTGTCCTATCTCTAACTTTGGGCAACCCTTTGAGTTCTTTGGCCAGTTTTCTAAACAGGATGATTCCATTACACTCCCTCCCTCCTGCCTACAGACAGACAGACAGACACGCACCCATAACACTCCCTCCCTCCCGCCTACAGACGGACAGACAGACACGCACCCAGGCTGTGTTTCTTGGGCTGTCCGACACAAGCTTGGAGCTCCCATTAATGAGAATTGGCTTTAAAGTTCTGAAGTGTGCCACCCTAGCACGGTATACCGATGTCACCCCCATTGATGTATCTTATGAAAATGTACTGGAATTAGATCAAAAGGGTGCCATGATGCATTGACCATAGATTGAGGTGTTTTTCTCATTTTAAAAAGCATTCAAATTAATATCTGAAGAGTTTGAAACACACTGCCTAGGTATGCACCTACAAGATAAGACACGATAAGAACAATTAGAAGAACAATTAGGTTTTGGTTGAATTATTTGTGTTTACGATATGATTATATTATGTCTAAGATTTTATTAAAAACCCCACCAGCACAATAGTGGACTCAATTAATGTCAGAGAGGTTAGTTGAATGTATATAGCATCACAGCCATGTGTAATTGTACTGCATAAATACGCAAATATATACTATGCAGTATGTAATATACTTATTATTTGAAACCCCTCTCCTGAATTGTATACACTTATTTCCCCCAAAATGATTCAGTAGCATTACATTTGAATTTTGCTAAATATTTAACCATGAACATATATAAAAAAAATTAAATAAAACATTCATATTGACAACATTCTGTGCGTGTGTACACACACACATACAACACACATACTGTAATTACTGTATATGAAAACAGTCAAATATCAAGTCATTCAGGTGTGCACATTGGCCTGAGCAGGGCCATGAAGGTGATGCTGAATCATAATTTCTTGGCCTTGGATTTCCATTCTGTGTAGCCCCCCGTGTAGTTGCGCGACCTGCAAATGAAACAGCACAAAATACGAGTGTCTAACTTCTACAAAAAAAAATGCAATCTAAGCCATTCTCAATCCACCCACAGATGGAGGCCTTGCCACACCGATTACGAGGATTTTTTTTTTCTGGCCAGTGTGCGGGTTGGTGAAACAGGTGGTGGAAGGGAACCCCAGGAGCAGTTCAGTTTGCTCCCCATGGCTGTTAGCTGTGGCTGGGAATCGAACTCGCTCTGCCGGTGCTCTCTGCTTGAAGTGGTGCAGGGTGATGCCCATCTTTCATCTTTGCTGGTGGTGTTGAGCCAGTGGTAGAAATCTCACATTCAAATGGAGGGAGCCAGTCTCTCCATAGGAAAGACAACTCAAACTGCTCACGAAGTAATATCCATTCAGTGTACATTAACAACTAATATTCAGTACATACACCGTACAATAATTGAACGATATAGAATCAGGCAGAACTATGTCACCCAACTTTAAAATTATCCTTCTGCCATTGATTACTAATGCAAACCTGTGAACCCACACGGTTTACCCGTATTCTTGTACAGGGAAATTGAGTTTGCAAGTCCATAGGGCATACAGCCGTTTCAATATGGGGAAATATTGTTTTATCTATTTGTTTGTGTTTCTCTCTTGTGGTGGGACTTTGTGGTGGGACTTTGTGGTGGGACTTTGTGGTGGGACTTTGTGGTGGGACTTTGTGGTGGGACTTTGTAGGATGAACGTTGAGATTTATAAGGGCACGGGGTGACCAATAAGGTCTGAATTGGTCTGCAATAAGGTAGCCACTGATAAGGGGATCGACAGGTATGGTAATGGCCTAATCAAACTCCCTAAAATTTGCCCTTCCATCTCCATCCCAAACGTCATCCCTCCCGATCTTCCCCAGCTGCAGATGTTGTTGGCCCCGACGATTACAAATCAGTCTCTTCTGTGCGGTGGGGCTACGGCGGTCGAGGTGGCGTGTGCCGTGTGTCTCACTGCTGCTCAATCTGTTCAACCCATGATTTTACTTAGATTTTTGTACAAAGAAAATAGCTTAACTTTGTCTGTATGTCTTGTTTATTCATATATGGTTGCCCTTGAGATGCTTTTACTATTCAAATGCTAGATGAAATCTAATTATGATATTGCAATACACTGTATAACAAGTAACAGTACAACAACATACAACATTGACTTGGCTCAATTATTCATTGCCAATGCATTGGTTCTATTTAAAACTTGAATTCGTGGACGGCTTGCATAATATATCCTTGCATAAATAACAGAGGATGCAGCCTTGTTTGATGAATGGATGATGAATGCTTTCCATTGACTTTTTTCAGTCACCGTGGGTCCTGTCCTTGTTAACATTGTTGGGCAGTGACAGTCGCATGGCCCTGAAATGTTGACATTTCTGGCTTGTTGGTTATTTTAACCTGCTTGCTAGGACACCGTGTAGTGCACACAAGCTGGCTACAATTGCCCTCAAAATCAGTTACTTATTTGTTTGCGTTTTAGTTATTAAACGACACAATTGCCCGTTGTATTTACAAATGCCTAAATAAAGGGTAGGGAACCCATTTAGCACCAGTAAGCAGATGAAAAACCACCTGACTGACACTTTCATTGTTAGCACTGCTCAATAACTAAACACACACATATAGACAAAAGTAATTTTTAAGGCCATGGCCAACCAAAATATTGTGACTTACAATCTGAGACACATTGCACGCGGCTCTGTTCATAGAAAAATAAAGATAACTTCATCATCGGCATCAGCCTTCATCCACTGCTGGATGAAGGCTTCCCAATGCCATCGCTATCACTACCTTTCTTGAAATGAAACAATTAATCTAGATCCTGCATACAGGCGAATTCATTGCTCCATCTCCATGGTGGTGTTCTGCACGAGTGAGTCCACTGCTATGGCTGCCACTCTGTCATTAGTATTACTCACCATTTCTACATTTAAAGTTATTTAACAAAATTATTCATTACATTTGCAGAATTTTGATCAATGTGCTTATAGTCTGAAGAGGACCATCCAACCAGAATGTCGAGGGCTGATTTTTCCCTCCATTAAATAAATGAATCTCATGATTTATGTTTTTCTTTCATCTGTTGTTATTGTGTACGATCACAAATGGAGAGGAGCAAGACTAATGCAGCAGCAGCAATTTCCTGTTCTGCCCATCCTTTGTATGAAATTACAGGGTGGAGCAGTGTTACACGGGTTAGCACGGTGCGCTATGAACCCATTTCCCGAGTTTGATCCCTGGCCATGGCTATTAAAGTGGAAAGTTATATCAGACCCAGCACTCTCCTCTCCCCTTTTCTTCACAAACCTGCACTGACCAGTAAAAAACGTGGGGAGGACTTTATCCATGGGTGAATCGAGGATAGCTGGAATTTAGCTTTTTTATAAAATGAACTATAAAATAGTATTTTAATAGGTTGACTGGATTGCATGAACGTGGAACGAGTGCTCATGACCTATGGCCGGGTGTTAAAAATTAAAACCGTGATCTTGACCTCAAAGTCAGAGGCAGTATGTTGTGAACTGGTCATATCTTGGTGCTATTACAAAGTCTGCTTGTGGCCATTAAAGACCTTCACACCTGTCAAAGACAAGTGCATTTTATAATTGATGGAAAATTTAGTTAAAATAACGCTCACTCACCCAAAGGAGCAGATGGACAAGGGCTTTAAAAAAAAAGCAATCGTAAGCTAAACGCCTCTGAATTAAAGTTATACTAAATACAGTAGTCACGTGCAAAAATCTAAGTATATGAACTTAAACAGTATTTCAATTAGGGAAAAAGTCCATTATGTAGTGATATGCATGATACAGAATAGAGAATAGAAATATATACTAAAACTGAACAAAAATAAATTATTTTTTAATTTTACCAGATAAGGGATATAAGCTCTTTTCAGAAGCGCCCTGGCCACAAATTTAATTATAGCTCAACGAAGTGGCTTATCATGTGGACATTTATCGCAGCCAAATACTCTAAATGCATTTTTAGAAATGTGAAGGGAAAAACTGGAGGACCCAGAGAAAAATCCACGCGACCACGGGGAGGACGTGCAAACTCCAAATATATAAGCATCAAGGATCGGGATCGAACCCATGACCTCCTTTATACTAGTTGAGGTAGCTAACATCCCGCCAGCACGGCGCCCCAAAATGTATGGTCGGGTTCAGCGAGTGTTATCCAGATAATACTGGATATATAAATAAGGTCAGCCGGTGCTTGTAAAAAAAATATATATGTACATGCCTGTACCTGCTTGTAAGGTATATTTGTTCTATGCTTGTTTTTAGCCTTGACTATTGCTCTCCCCCCCCCACCCCCCCAAAAAAAAACACAAGGGACTATTTATCAGTGCTGTAACAATCCGGGAGGTTAAACAAGTGCTGTCGCTTAAACAGATAGCAATCCCAAATCCGAACAATGACCTCCGACACCAGTTTGCCCTCGTCCTGGACAAAACAAATGCTTCTCCGCATTGTGAACGGGTTAAAACCAGAACTGAGAGTCCGTACTTTGTGTAGCCGAGTCTTCGCAGGCTGTAAAGTGCTGTTTGTCCACGCATTCCAGATCGGCAGTAAACCACAATGTTGTCTTCCTTGTGCGGCATGTCCACCCCGTAGAGGCCCTTGAAGGTGCCAGAATCTCGGATGAAAGCTTCGTTTATCTTCCCCACTAGAAGGGCAGAGCAAGGGGAGAGGGATGGTAAAGAACGATGCAGGAGTTAGGAGAATGGAAAATGTTTACCCCCCCTCCCTTTCAACAAACTATTTAGAGCTTATTCGATTGCTGTTTAAGTATTGCCAGTAACCGCATGTAAGCAGTGTTTCCAACATCGTGATTTTTGTCACGAGATCAAGAGATGTTTTGGCTTTCCTTTGCAAAAAATGTTTTGCAAAGCAACTAAATGACGATATTTGTGACTTTCTGGGACAAGGACATGCAAATTTAGAAATGATTCCAGTAGTGTATTAAGTATTCTGTATCAATTTAGTTACAGGAAATGTTTTTGATGACCTTTTGAGGTTAATTTGGCAATTTTCCGATTTGAGAAGTTGGCAGCACTGCATAGAAGTGCCACATTACAGCCCCTGATCTCAGGGAGTGTTTTCACACATTTATGCTCTTTCATGAAATTGCCCAATCATCCCATTGCTAGGCCCATACTCTTGAGGGCATCATAATTCTAGATACCATCACAAGCATTTAGAAAAATCACAGCATGGACCTGAGGATTTACAGTCAAGTGGCATGGCCATGTCCATTTATCCCCCATGGTGAGCTCGAGCACAGTTTTGTTGTTGACAGAAAGAGTACTGACAATATCAGCGAGCCATCTGTTAAAAAAAAGTTATTTTGAAGAGACTGTAAACAATCGTCTTACAAAGGTGTGTTTTTAAAAAAATATTGCAAACAAAATAAAAAAAAATATAACAAAAAGCCCAGATAAAAATGTCATCATTTTTGTTCTTGTTAGACAAAGCAAGTGACGACAAGAACATTACGTTCTTTAAAACATTGTGCAACACAGGGGTGCGTGTTCGGAACAAACACTGAAAGGAGCGTGAGTTATGGAAAATAATATTTTTTTTTATAAAAAGGTTAAACAACTCGTGTGCAGTGCACAGACCCGTATTCTCTCTGACATCTTGCATTTATGTCTTTATGCATGTGAATTATATCATTAACAAGTCAATTATCTCTCCATTACTGGCTGTAAACCGCCCCCCATGCGGTCATCATTCCTCACGGTCCAATGCTGCTACCATCCATCTCACCATTACAAATGAACTTATCTCATCATTCCATCACCACGATGGCGGTACTCTTGGTCGAGTTCTCCCCTCTGCTGTACAGTATGATAACCGCAAGTATGTGATGCTCTATCCATGTAATAAATCTGGGCCCAATCACAAGTGGCACGATTGTTTCCCCGATGGAACATTAACTCTCATCGCCAACTTCCCACTGGCTGAAGCACGAGGGTTGGCCGCAATGTGGTGATGCCACGATATACGATTCACGATAATCGCATCGTCCGTTTTGTTAAATGTCGGTATTTCGTGATTAAGTAAAGGCAATAAATGGCGCAGGCCTTTTATTACATTCTTACGCTGCGTCTGCAGGAAGGGCCTCCCCTAGAGGGAGCTCTAGAGAACCTCCCCGTGGGGTATTTGGCCTACTCTTCCACGCTGGCGAGACATTTCGGGATAAAATGAGAGCACTCACACTTTTTTCTCACCACACGCGACCTGCCGATGGACCGACTGTTATGCGCCCATTTATTCTCGGGAGTAGACAGAAGCAGGATGGCAAGTCCAGCATGCTAACTATTACAACATGGTGGCATCAGTATTGATTATCGTCGCTCTTGTATTTATTTAATGTACCGGTATATTTGACATCCTGACAAACATACAAAGGCAATGATTAAATTAATCCTGGGTAAAATATGATCGAGCGTAATGGACGACTTGGCGATTATTATTTTCTGCGGTTAATTGAATTTTGTCATTATTTTCAGCACTTTGGATGGTAAACACGTGATTTGGTGATGCTGCTTGGTGCTGCTGTGTTGGCGGTGGTGCACAAGCTTAGTCAACAGATACTCGTCAATAACACCGCCTCAAAATAAAAATACACATATATAAAATATGCAAATAAGCATATACATATAAAAATATACGTAAACTGTATATATACAAATATATTTATGAAGACAAATTTAAATATATAAAAAATGTTCCATAATCATATATTTTTTCCGACGTTGTGGGCAATGGCTCTTCTTCATATCTGACCAAGAGGGTAATTGCCCGAAACGTCGCAGATTATATATTTTTATTTTAAGACATTTTTGTTTACGAGTTTTTTTTATTATTATTATGATAGATTGTAAAGTTGCAGTGATTGGAAGACTTGTGGCAGGCTTGTGTTGAGTGAACTGCACTTGAAGAACCCTTTAAGTCATCTTTATTCGTACTGAAAGCATGACAAAAGGAATCAAAATACAACAGAGGTGCCATATACAAATCACAAAGTTATAGGAAACGGACATTTCTATGAATCATCATATTGAGTAAAATGTTGATATTGTGTCGTGAAACCGTAGTAAGCACTCAGCATTTTGTACCTAAATCACCGTTCGTTTCTTTAGCACAGCACGGAAGCCAAAAAACAGGATTCAGCGAAAGAAGACGAACCAGTTTTTTGTTTTTATTTTTTAATGATTGTATCACAATGCTTGCGGTTATGCAACGGGCGGTGGTATGTGGATGCAAAGTGGTTGAAAGTCTAAGGAAAGTACAGTGCTGTAGTCAGTCCTTATTTAATGATATACACCACAAAATAACAGTTTAATGTTTAACGTGCCCAATTAATGTAAATGAATATCAGTGTTGAACTATAATTCTACTTGTGAAGGGATGATAAATGAATAAGCGAATACCAGCTGTACCTGAATGAGTGAATGATTTAATTAATTAAATTGGAAAAAAATAATGGGTGAATTAGTTAATGAGTGGCTGAATGTGTGAATAGTGGTTGTACCTCAATGAGTGAATTAATACAATAGATAAATGTTTGAAAGTGGATTTAACACTTCGGTTTTTTTAAGGCCCAAGACTGGAGGAGATTTTCACAAATCTGGCAACTGCCTGATGATAGTGGTTTCCACTACCAGTGGCTTGTCTGCACCCAAATGTTAAATTTAGTGGGATTACTCTTCAACAACAAACTGGTTTGTGCAAGCAGATATTAAATGGCACGTTTGTTCACGTGACAGCTTTATTTATTTGGCTGTGTTGGGAAGAGGAAAGGTTGTACAACACTTATGCACATTTTCCTCATGTGATCTCACTCAAATATCAACGATGATCATGATATGAAGGAGCTTTGTCAGAATTGAGGAGTAAAAGGCAACCTGTACCGTGAAAGAGTGAATTATTGAATCAATAAACAAATGCGATTCAATTAACTATGGAGCGGCTGACTGAGATGGCTGTGGCTGTACCTGGAATGTTGATGGCTGAAGGTATCATTCCCTCCTCCGTTTCACATGGTTCCCGCACGTCGAACACACTGACGTCTCTGTTCTGCAACAACCGCTTCAGCTCCTCATAGGAGACCTTGTCTGGCCAGAACACAGACACAAGTGTGAAAAATGTCACTTTGCTCATATGTAATAATAATTAAAATCATTACAATGTAAAACCCTTTGTCAAGCCACCGCTGGATTCAGGCCTCTCCATGTCGTTTCGGTCATGGCGTAAAAAAAAAATCATACTTTACCACACTGGTCTGTGTTTCATATTCTTAGCTCTTTCAGTAAAGTCACGTTGAAGGGAAACAATAAAATAATAAAATACACATAAAAACAAAAAAAATTCTCACGACGTTTCGACCATAACACAAACGGTCATCATCAGGTGTGAAAACCAAGGGCAAGAAACATTTGAAAGAAGTGGCAGGCCGCATTTATTTATTTTTAAACGTTTATTTATTTATAAAAAACGTCAGCACCACGGGCAGCGATTTGGCAGTTTATTTAGAAGGACGAGTCCATCTATGTTCTGAAAAGAGGAGGGGGGAGACGAAAAATTAATGTATGCTGTCTGAAAGCCACCGTAAGCGTGAACAATCAATTAAGACCTGAAATGGATTATCAAATCCTTCCAATGATTGCTAAGCCAGAATCCATCTTCTCGGTTGAAATTGTCTCTGTGCTTATATATGTGGATAGCCTCATGAACGAATCTCTCATGGTAGACAGATGGTCTGTGTTTGTTTGCGAAGGTGCGGGGGAAATATGTCACCACTGATGTGAGGCATGGCTGTGAATCGAACTTGGGTCACCAGATTAGGAGCATAGTATGCTAACGATTGCACCACCATAATTAACCTTATCCAATGTATGGTAATCTACCTTATGTAAGACATGATTATAAACTGCTTAACTATAGTAAAAAAATATATATTTACTTCTGTGCTTCCATGACCATCTATAATTGCCAAGCAATATGAGTTAGGGATAAAATATCCAATGCAGAGTACATTGTAGCTGTTTGCCAAAAACTTAAACGCGTTTTTAATAAATAAATAAATAGAATTGCAATTATTATTTGCACAGCAATCACGCTAGGTGTGCCGTTACGGTGAATTGAATCAATGTGTTTTTCCCCCCACATAATTCACATGATACGAGCAGTCTGGGGAATATCTCGCTAAGTTAACCTCGTTTATGAAAGTGCCCTTTTCGTTAATTCAATATACGTGGGGCAGTGAACCGTGAACACTGCAGAGTGGATCCCTGAGCAGTGGACAGTGAAGAGTAAAAAGTGATCATTAAACAGATGACCTTAGATCCGAAGGCTCAAACAAGTTTCTTGATCCGAGGAATGCATCCTTGTTTTTTTGTTGTTGCTCAAAGTGCTTACATGAGCAGATGTGGCAGAGTTACTCTTAAATTGTGTAACGATCGCGTTTACTGGATTGGCACAACTATTTTGTTGCGTGTAACGTCCGTAAAGAGTAAGCAGGCCTACATACCGATTACGATCTAGACAGTACTTGCCTCTCTAATGTGCCCTCAAAATACAGAGTTTTTGTCAATCCACTGCTGGATGAGGGCCTCCCCTACCAAACTTCATCACGCTGGGTCAGTGCGGGTTGGCGAATGTGTCGAGGCGTGCATAATGACATGAATTGTGGTGCACTTCGGCTCTCCTCTCCACGATGTACGAACATTGTCAGACAACTGCACGTAAGTGATAAGCAAGAAAACGGTGAAGAGAACCCCGCAAATTATCCGCGCATCTCTGGAATGTCAGTCCCGTGCTGGTACAGCTGCGTTTCGTTCAGTTGCAAGCAAAAAAAACGACTCTATAAATTACAAGCCCCTCGACTTTCAGCAAAGCCTGAAAAGTATATTTGTAAACCATTCAAAACACGTCCCGCAATGTTACACGTTAACCCTGTAAATTAAGTATGATTATGTATGTTGAACTTATTTCGAACCATATATAGCCAGCCGTGCTTATCGGATCAAATGGTCACAGCATTTAATAATAATAAATATTTACATACATTACTTGGTATCAACGCTGAACCCATTCCATGGAAGTTAAATGCGTTAATCACACACGTGCTCAGTGAACTTGTGAAATAGTGGACGAGAAACGCTCCAGTCAGCACCAGCGATAAATCAGATAGAGTCAAACACCCACGGACTCATTCCCACACTAATTTCCCCACAGAGTAGCGGACTCACCCTCCACTCACTCACTCACCTGCGGCTCACGGACAGCTCGCTACAGCGGTCACTCATGGACAACCTTGTCACTGTGACGGCTAAAGAGGCACTCCCCACGGGAGCACACCCGTGCGAGAAAAAACACAGTTAACGTTACGAATGAATAGAGAAATAAATCATTTAAAACGGCTGCACCTTACTTACCTGCCACCGCAGACATTGAGGGAGAGATAGATTGCTGCAGGTCTCGTGGCTCTAGCTGGGGGTATATCGCAAGGCGGAGGAGTTCGCGAGTCCCTGCCCACCGCGTGCCTTTAAACGCCCAGGGGGCCTCCGACGATCTTATCTTTAGCCAATTGCTTCCCTTCTTCCGGGGTAGGATGAGTCAGCCAAACTCGAAAGTCCATATGACACTAAAAGCTAATTATATAGCGATGTCATATATTGGGGCACCCGCTAACTAATTGGCATGGTGACAACTTCGTTTCCACGCTCCCAGATTTGTTTTTGTATATAACTGTAATGTACGGATAGTAACGACCAGGAGTTAAAAATAGCAAACAAGGGGTCAGATATGTTGAGCCTCATTCCCTTAGCCATTCTTATTCGTGCACAAAAAAAATATTGCTTCGGATTTTACAAAAAAAGGAAGGTGATGTTTATTTACATAATGGTCAAGGATATGCATTGAAACCAAAACATCTAAATGGCATCACTATTATCCGCTGGATTATTCAAACTTCCACCTGATTTTAGGTGAAAAGTATTGAATCATTAAAAGTTGAAATTTCTTACGTAGGCTTTCACTACTAATTCAATTCATAATTAGCTTATTTTGAGTTAGAGCATGTAGATATAATGATAGTTAAAAACATTGACCATATTCCGACACAATCAAACCCAAACTAAACTAATTATCAATCATTAACTGCTGGCATTGCAAACATTAAAAACATGTGTATAGGATTCAAAGCAAACATTCTGCATTTCCATTGTGGGTAAATAAAACGAGTTTGTTTGCTACTAATTCCTTTTTAGAAGTCTCCAAAAGATATAACAAAATTACCAATGGGTTTCACGCTGTTCTGTTAGCCTTGCTAATGACGCTACTGGGAGGCGTTCACTCAACTGGTGAGGCTGAAGAACACTTAAATGCGATGTTTATTACCATTTAATTGTCCTAGGAAGGAAATAATTTTACGAATAATAAAACACAAACTGCAGCCATGTATTTGATAAAAACATAAACAGAACACAAAGGAGTTTACCGCAAACATGAAATATTTTAGAAAACTGCACCGACCATTGGAAAAGCGTTCATCGTTACAAGACGTCATATCTGTATCGCGTGCCTCGGAAAAAAAAAACAAGAATTGTTTTCTAAAGAAATTCCTTGCAATTACAAAAATGTGAGATTGGCAAAATAAGACTAAACGAGTCAAGTCTGGTAGCGTGCAGTCGTGATCCTGAGCTGATGCATCTTGTCTTTATCCAAGCACTGCGTGATTGTTTAAGACTTACTTGTTGTTCTAATGTCCATCACAAAGTATTCTTTATCATATATTTACAGCCGTTTGTCAATCCACTGCCGGTCATGGGGAGTTGTTTGACCATACACAACGCTGGTCAGTGCAGGTAGGTCAAAGAAGGGGAGGCCAGGACCGGTGAAGACATCACTCTGTAATTATTGTTAGCCCTTGCCAGTAATCTAACTCATTTTGACAGGTTTGTAGCGCAGTACACTTACACAGTTTATGAGCCAGCATATATATACCGTATCTGATACGGTACTCAAACAAAATAATATTCTGCATACGTAATAACTCTCATTCGTAAAAAATAAACACTTATATGAAACGTAAAGCAAATATCTTTTTCTATAAGGAGGTGTAGGATTAGAGAACCAAGGTTGAATTATATAAACTGTACGTAAAAAAATTGATTAAACAGGGTTTACAAGGAACAGAATAAGGATCGCTGTGACCTGCTAATATAAACCACGGGGATTATGGACCCATCACGTATGCCCAGACATGTCATGCAGTAAGTTGTAAAACCCACAACAATAATCAATTGTGGAGGATGTAATTTAAGTAAAATACATACATTTACGTTTTCATCAATTGTGTACAAAGTATGCATTCCAGAAACTTACTTCATTCTAGAATGCAAAATCATCAATAAAACAATTCATATTCTTAGCTCTTTCGGTAAAGTCACGTTGAAGGAAAACAATAAAATAATTATTTTTAAAGTCACGTTGAAGGGAAACAATAAAATAATTATTTTATTGTTTCCCTTCAACGTGACTTTACCGAAAGAGCTAAGAATATTTAAATCAAAAAATAAAACAATTCTCAAAATATTGGAGTCCATGAAGCAACAAACGCACAACCTCCCCCCCTCCCACCTCCCCAAAGACAAAGAAGCCCCGTGTAGCCTTAACAGACTGTTGGGTGCAAGTGCTGTTAGCGAGCACCTATGAAGGCCGAGTGGCGATGTTTTACACACCGCACCAGGTATTCGTTTAAGGCTGAGTCGACCTAGGGGAGGCCCAGGATCGGTTCAGATAATTGTCACTGGTGTTGGCCGTGAGTTGCGCTAAACCCCCTCCCACCACCCCGTGACCGACATTGCAGTGAGTGTACACATCAATATGTTCTATCTCATTTGCTGGTGTCAATGGTTTCTACAATTTCTTTCTTCATTAACAAACAAAACAATCTACAAGAAATATCAGGGAGATTAAGTTCAGTACTTAAAATGCCACATATACTGCAATGCAATTTCTTACGGTTATTAAAAAAAACATCAAACACAATTCAGTCAATACGAGCACGCACAATCATAGCCACGCGTACTTTTTTTCGCTACCCTATCAAAGCAGGGCATAATAATAATAACAAATTAATTCAAGGGAGACAGCAGCATCAATATTTCGTGTATCCTGTGTCCTATCTTTTGCAAATCCATAGGAGCACCTGCATAGCTCATGCAGGAGACAATCTGATTAGAGGGGGCACGGGGGCATGTCGGTGCAATGCAGGATTTAATGGGGCCTCAGTAAGACATTCGTTTGCCAGTTGTTGACGCAATGAACCCAGCGAATAAACTCAAGCCCCCCCTGATCCACGAATAACCTATTATACAGCACCGTGCATGGGTAGAGCGGTGGCACAGTGGTTAGCGCGCTGCGTTCCGAACTCCGGTGACTTACGTTCGAGACCCGGCCTCAGTTAACGTCGGTGGCGAGTGATAACTGAATCGCCCTCCCCACCACCCCGCCGATCGCTTACCTACAATGACTAGCGTGGTGAAGTATGGTCAAACAATCCCATCAAGCTAAGCAGGCAAACGCTGGGCCAAAAGCTCATAAAATCCTGGTGGCTTGAAAAATATAATAATTTCATGTGGAGAGTTGAATGGGCATTAAGTTCAGAATACATGTTTTTGTTATTTACTACAGAACGTGTAATGCTCCAAAACAGCACAATATGAGTTTATATACCATAGATGAACCATTCTTTGAGGGTTAGGTCATTCCGTTAGCTTCACATTGACATTAACTGACCCACTGGTATCAAGGGAGCCAGCGTTTAATCAAAACAAAGCAAACTTCAGTGTTTGACTCCCCCATCGGGGGACAAAACATGGCTTTGTTGTAAAACGGCCAAAAAGGTAGACAACTACATTTTTACATGGGTCCACAACTAACAGCAGCATGCTCATTCGTGCAACGGACAACAGTGAATACATTGCATTTGTATTGCAACATCATATTGCACATGTTTGTAAAGGTTCTCTCCCCTTAAAATTAAATTACTTGTCACGATTCAGTGTCATGCTTCAAGAATCGATTATTTTATTGACGTGGTAAATGTGGCTGCAAGGATCAATAAACATGAATCTCAACAAATACATGGAAAATAATCGACCTTTACACGAATAATTCTCTGCGCATATCATGAACATGAGAATCGATTACGATATATGAATCGATACATGGACACTATCGCAGATGTATGTAACACTGAGCTTAACTGGTTAAAAAAGCACATTAATCCACAATCACATGACAACTTTTAAAATAAAACACATTGTGAATGTATTATCAAGCTGAGTGCATTTAAAATGTGAGTGTTGTTTAAAGTAACATTTACTATGAAAGTCACAATGAGCTAATGTAATCAGACAACTGTTTCTACAGTTAATTTGTTCATGAAGTCCAAAGCAAAATCTGGAATCTACGTTTGTACAGTAATTGCCTTTCTCCCAATGGCATGCCGATAGCACTATCAACATCGCAAGATGAGGACTCCATTTGAAACCCTCCCACAGCAGTCCTCCTTCACCGGTGTACGTTAGAGAATGGCTTGCAAAAACTAGATATCACAGAACTGCTTCTGAAATCTCAAGTGATCTCTGATCCGCACTAGGGGGCAGCAACTTCCCCAACCCGCCCTGCTCGATAGACTAACGTTCGTCACGTGACAATCAAAGCGACATTTATTCATTCACAAGATTGAAATTTAGCCAAATTAAGTGCAAACTCTAATGTAATGCGATGGATGTTTTGTGTGTGCAGTCTCTGGTGACCAGGCTGATTTCAACGAGCTACACTCGGAAATCCAGTGTAATCACGGGCAGAATTTTCAAACCCAACATCTCAGCAGTGCAGGTTCAGGGCTTTGACCCCTACGCCACCTGGCCACATGCCAGTGTAGTGTAATTGACATTTGGGTGGCTTCTGCGAACTCTTTCTGGGCTCGATTATACTTCTGTTACATCATACTCGGTCTGACAGATTGCTCGTGATTGTAACCGCATGCAATGTTGAGTCACATGCTCTGACGTTCTGATGCTTGCGGACAGAATTAGCCTGCTTTTCCACTGTGACGGGTCACATGATGGGCACCATCACCTGAACAATGACATCACAGATCTTTTCGAACTTTCTTTACAAGTCAGACGCATCCAATTAACACTTGTTATATTAGGAGGGAAAATGGGACTTGGCACGATGCCTGTCGGATCTCTGGTGCAAGGAGAAATACAGTAGTTTTTTTACTTGAATGTAACCTCCTCCAATGACTCGGGGTAAGGTGAATCCATTATATTGTACAACATACAATTATGATTCACAGTCCTTCTGTCAATCTACTGGCTTTCCCACACCATATGTATAATTTGGGTTGTTTGACCATACCTCACCATGCTGGTCGGTTCGTATTGGTAAGGGGGTGGGGGGGGTGGTTAGGCCCAGCACTACTTATGTTTAGCCGTGGCCAGGAATCAAACTCAGGTTGCCAGGTTTATATCGCAATGCGCTAACGACATGCACATTGGTTCCACCTCCATACAAAAATAAAAAAACGTAGATTTTTTTGCACAAGGTTGAGCAGCATTTTTCCAGTTTTACTTCAATGGGAAAATAATAATTTTACCAGAAAATGGCAAGGTCAGAATGACAAAACAAAACCGAATCTTATCGGTGCAGAGCAACAACCATTGCGTAATGTTTTACAATTTTACTGCCTCCAACCTTTCACACCTTTCAGGGTGGGTGTGGGCAATGATTTTGCCAATTCAATGCTGCCTGTTAAATAAATTTCCGTGCGAAATCTAATTAAAAACAATTCTCATGTCAATGGAAAGGGATACATTTTCACAAAATGAAAAAAGGCTTTCACGTTATCATATAACAAATTACATCAACTGTCTTTGCTGGCGGGTATAATTGCGTGAAGAATCGGCACAGTGGTTAGCGGACTTCACTACGAACGACTTTCAGTCGTTATAGGCTATCGGATTCGTTGTGGGCAGCACAGAAAATAAGTTGTAAGACCGCTTCCCACCTTCACCAATCTGACATGGCCGAGGGTTACTTTCATGCACCTTTCTTGTTATTCACCCTTCAGCATCAATCCATAGAAAATCCTGTTTTGTTTTACATAAATCCTGTTTGTGGATGAGAATTAATCCAGAAATTACGGCTAATTCTGATCGAAAGTCAACCAAAGGTTGTGATGAATTCATCTTAATATCCATGCTCAAACATGGATAAGATATGTAAATTGTCAGTCAGAAAAAAGTGTTGGCAATCTGTTACCTGCAGATGAGCCACCAAACTCAACCTATTGTCAGTGGTTTTACACAACTAAGTGTGACCCTAAAGCATGGACAATTCATTCCATTACCCACAGACATCAGTGTGGATAACACGTAATTTCCACGGATAACAAAATTTGCCAAAAACATCCACACATCGCTACGGATAACAGGAGTGTCAGCGTAATGACATGTAATGTTATTTATTAACAAACAATTTCGTATCTGCATGGATTACACTATGTAACACAATTTTTGTTCCTGGGTACGAAGTCTTATGTCATAATTGCTTATGCCTCAAAAGTACAGAAAATGGCTATTATTCCCCACAAACTTTGCTTTTGTGACCAGGACTTTATGCGAACGAAAGACACAAATGCACACATTTTCTCATTGAAAATAGGTAAATTTCAAAATATCACTGTCCTGGTCACAAAAGCAAAGTTTGTGGGGAATAATAGCCATTTTCTGTACTTTTGAGGCATAAGCAATTAAACAATAACACTTACCTCCCAGGAATAAAAATTTAAAATGTTTATTACAGTGTTATGTCAGGCAATCCAAAATGTGTTTATCCTTGGAAGTATTGTTATTTATAACCAGCCTTTTGCCCGTCCAAGGACAGGTGTATTGCAGTAAATCTGAAACTTGCAAGTGAAAATCAGACCGCGACGTGATATTCATTGCATTAATGCGTGTGCAGTTTGTAAGGGCACGGTGACACAGACCTATTTCATTTTAAGGTTATAATCCCTTGTTCATCACGACGTCCTTTTTACTTCGATGTCTCAACAACAGCGTCACAGAGATCACGTGACGTGAGGGTTCTGCCTTTGTAGTGAGGGTTGTCAGTTGACGCCGAGGAGGGGGGAGGAGGCGCCTCGGCCCCCCATGTGGAGTGACGTCAGCCACTAATTATTAATGGGGGGGGGGGGGCATTTGGAGGACGTCACCTGGTCATGAATCTTCTTTGGTTCTTTCGGTAAAGTCACGTAGAATGAGAATAAAATAATAAAATAAAAATACAATTCTCACGACGTTTCGGCCACAACACAAGTGGCCTTCATCAGGTGAAGGAACTGGACTGTCCAGAGGACAGCGTTGGAGTGAAGACAGCCAAGCCCAGGTCGCGTCCTTTAAGGTGTGTGGGAGGAAACAAAAACGCCTTGACAAAGGAATTAGCATAACAATGATGTACTGGACCGGCACGGTGGGGGTGGGGGGGGGGGAGTTTACATAATGTTGGTGTGAAGGGAAATAAGTGGCTGTGAAAGTTTGGGATACCGCTACTTCACACCAACATTTTGTAAACTCCTTCCCCTCCCCCTCCCCCACCCCGCCGGTCCAGTACATCATTGTTATAATTCCTTTGTCAAGGCGTTTTTTTGTTTCTTCCCACACAGCTTAAAGGACGCGACCTGGGCTTGGCTGTCTCCACTCCAACGCTGTCCTCTGGACAGTCCAGTTCCTTCACCTGATGAAGGCCACTTGTGTTGTGGCCGAAACGTCGTGAGAATTGTATTGTTATTTTATTGTATTATTTTATTCTCATTCTACGTGACTTTACCGAAAGAACCAAAGAAGATGAATCCTTGCAGTCACGAAAGCTTTAAATCGAAATCTGGTCATGAATATTAACGAGTGGGGCTGGTCAATGTGGAGTGACGTCACTTGCTCATGATTATGAATGAGGGGTGGGGTGGTGTCCATTTGGAGGACGTCACTTGCTCATGACTATTAATGAGGGGGGATGGTCGATGTGGTGATGTCACGAGCGTTGACATTCCTGGGTGATTACAGTAGGTATGGTAGCAAACACGCCAAACATATAGGATGCAGTACACTTTTACTCCGAGCACAAAACAAACATTACATAACAAAGGTGTTCAGCATGAAGCTTTATTGTACACTATATACAAGGTTGCATAAAACACTAAAAATCCACGGTTGAAAAAAGTCATTCAAAAGTTGTATATCCAAGGGGGGGGGGGGGGGGGAAGCATTCTTCCTCCTGTAGCGAGTGCACGAAGTGCAATGTACTTCGGAGGACACCCTGGATAGAAACCTTGATTTGTTCCCAGTTTCCTGCATACAAAGTTTTACTTCTTCATACACCTCTTACTAGATCGAAAGAACCATCACAATTAAGCTTTTTTATATATTTTTACAGTCATTAAGGCAAACGTCATAAAGCTAACAATCATCATTCAAAGGGAATACTGCATACAAATTCTTTTTACAATTATCTACAATGTTAATTCCCATTTGACCATCACACCATATGGACAAATACAGCTTACCGTAAAGGACTATCACCCAATGCGAGGTTAAATGGATGTTAAAACACATGCAAGTTTGCTATTTCAGGATTGCATGGCCCAAGGAGGCAAGTCTGGTGAGTGGCATCTTTAACCAGGAGCTGTACAGCACAATTCATAAGCTTCTGTGGTAGTCAGCACCATATAGGGATTACATGTATGGGAAAAGCACAATATATCCTAACCTATCACATTAATCTTACGACAGTGCACACTTTTATGTAGATGTGATAGCAGATGTCTCAGATGTCTCTAAATGGCTGCATAGATGCCCTAAATAATGAATTAGGGGTTGCTTTTGGCATAAAAGTGTTCACATTGATGGAACAAAACTGTATGCATAGCAGGGCATTACCTTGAAAAATCAGGGTACTAGATTCTAAAAGTAATCATGCAAGTTAAACCTTGAACCAACTCTGTACACGTTACATTATACAAAAGCGGACACTTTTTTTTACAAGGTACGCATAGCTGAACGCAACAGCTGTATGCACTGAAAAAATAATTGAACTACTTGGTGACAAAAATCAATTCACAGCTCTCTAAATTCATACAAAGCATGAACATTATATCGACTGCAAGAGTGAGAACAATAAATCATTTATATCTAATACGGTTGGTAAAAGTCCAGGACTGCATTTAAAACAATAGACGAATATTTATGATGCGAGTTCTCTATTTAGTGGTCCTCTCGAAACATATGAAACAAATGTAGTTATGGGGGTATTAACAAAAATTTTACACGTTTTAATTTTCCATTTTTTTTTACAATCTACCACTTAATGTGCTTCGAAGACGAATCCCATGTCAAGGATCGTTACTTTGACAAAATGTATATTAGCTTATAAAAATCTATTTTTTTTTTAAACCCCAATGTATTTGTACTAGAAAATGCAACATAACCCCTTCTTAAAGAACCTGCCTAAAAACGATAAAAAACATGTAATGGCTAATTTGTTGAAATCCCATACTCATCTGCTGATACATTTCAAATGTATAGAAATTAATTTATCGATGCATTTAAGCTACACAGCATAACTAAATTAAATTGTACCAAAGCCCGAGTCAGTAAAAAGTCTAGGCATGGATACAAGTCAAGATTAAGCAGTGATCAAAAGTAAATTAAGAACCCACGGACCCTTACATTTGATGCAAGAATTGTTCACATGCACACATGATGTTGCAATACAGTAAAAGCCTAGGTTAGTCCAGAGCAATGTTTTTGGGTAAACTTGGAAAATTCAACAACATATATAAAAATAAAACACCCAATCTGGCAGCCCTGGAGGAGTTTTACCAAAAATCTCACGAGCAACAGCCCGCGATTTACCCTGGGATACGCTTTAGTTGCAATTTTTGGATCATAAACAACATTGTAAGGAGGGTGGAGGAAAAGAGGCCTACGGTGGTCGTCTGTCGAACCCAGTAGCAGGTGCCTCTAGAGGGAGCCAATCTGCACCTCAACCTGACCCGTCTGATGACATCGTTGATGTCGGTACCAGGACAAAAAAAAGCCTCTTATCTCACCATACCCTATTTGAACAATTTATGATCTCATAATATTTTAAGATTAAATTATTCACACAAAACATGTTGTTTCAGCTGTTTCAGGGGAGGTGGAGGTGATTCAGGGACTCAAACTTTACACGGTCATGTCTTTCAAAAGAAAAGGCCAGTGGATAATTAACACGAATGTGCTGGGATCGCAATCACGATGTAAAAAAAAATCACAAGCTCAATATCCAGCTGACATCGACCATCATTGCATGTGCATGGAAGCTAGGGCTCTGAATCACACTGCAGCCAGTTCCTTATATATGTGTTGGATGACCGTTTCAAAACTGAAAAGTAAAAAAAAGTTGTATCCATAAAAAACAATTGTACAATTATTTAACAAATATAAACGTGGATAAATGTCATTAACAAAAAAATCACATTTAATTCTGGCCACATCACTGGGGGCCAGTGAGAAACTGCACAGATCACACATCCAACTTAGAGCAAATGGAAATTACACATTTTACTTAATTGTGTTTGAGTATATACTTCAAAAGATCAACACATTCGGTATGACTATATTACACCTTTGCAATAGAAAAATAAGAGTTGAGGAAACGTGACAAGCACTGAACTAAGCAAAAGTTGTACAGTGGCCATCGATTAACGATCCGCCTCCCATAGGGCCCCATTGTTTCCATTAATGATACATTTTCGATTAATAATGTTTACGATGATCACGCGAACCCGTCAACTTCGGCCAATCGAAGCACTCATAAGTGGACTCGGCAGACATCAGCCAGCCGCGACCCGCCCCTGTTATGAGCGTCTTGAGACCAACTGGTTATCTTTTCAATGCTTAATAAACATTGCTTGTGGAAACAGCTCCCTTGAATACTTAGGGATGTTACTTAAAAGTTAAGTAAGATCAATAACAAAAGATCGAGGAAGTCGGCACAGCAGACAAATGTTGACAGTTTCTTCAAAGAGACTAAGATTGGAGCCATAAACATCTGAAGGCAAGAATGATAATTTTATGCTCAATTTATGCAAATTTGTATGCTCTATTTATTAATAATTTATCCATGTTTCTATGAATATTAATGCTCTAATGTTCTTATAACATTTATTTATTAAAATTGCATGTTTAAATACTATTAACTATGCTTTTAGGGTGGTCATCTTCCAAACGTCTTTGAAATCAAACCTTTAACATGCATTTCCTATATTCGACTCACGATAATTTTAATCAACGATGGTTTTCGTGGAACAAATTAATATCGTTAATCGAGGGACCACTATTATGATCTTACATTTTTTTCTTGGCAGCCCCATGGTGTAGTTTTGTATGTTATCATAAGCACGAGTACACCGAGACAAAAGCCATGTATGCCTTCCATTTAAAACACGTATTTCATGGGAGATATATGTACATATACAACATCTATGTATATACAGTAGAATATGTGTGTGTGTATATTTACACAAAGGCAATCAATTCAGCTTTGAGAAGTGGATATTAAAACGTTTCTAAGGACATCGACTGATTGTTTCACTAGAGGAACGCCCCGATAATTATTCGGTTTCCTCGGCTGTTAGGTTCTGCCATCGTGTTTGCAATTCTCAAAACCTTTAGACCACCCCTTGTATATACACAGTATATAACCCTTTAAAAAAAAGTGCACATTTCTATTGCTTGTGAAAACATTTGAACTTACAACCTATCAGACCACTGTGTAGACAAATACACTACTAAAACCATAAGGCCGCTAAGTTAATAAACCATAAATACATTTCATTTTAAAAATTCATTTCCATAAATAAATTTTGAAATCATTTTACTAAACGCTAAAGATAATTATCCTAAAATATTGATGTTCATTAAAATACAGATGATTTATTGATATATTTTGTACATGATAAAGCAATCCCACATCTTTGGGTGGCCAGCTGCAAGTTGGAAAGCCGACTAATCTTGATTTGAAGCTTTCGTGACTGCAGGAATCCACACTCTTTGGTTATTTCGGTAAAGTCACGTAGGTAGAAGAATAAATCACGACGTTTAGATCACCACACGAGCAATCCGTCCCTCAGGTGGGATTATTATTTTTCTACGTGACTTTACCGAAAGAACCGAAGGAGTATGGAAAGCCGACTGTTGAAATATAATTGTGGCACGCCGATATTAAACGTATGCAAATTAGATCGGCGATATTAGCAGCCATCTCCAACACTCCCCATGTTTGCATAGCAGAAACGGTTGAGTTACGTGACGTCACTTTTCAAGTAAGACGACTCGCAGTAAACAACACATCGTGACGTAACACTTTGGGGGGGGGGGGGGGGGGGTTGGCATTTCATCATCATTTTACCTCCAAGAGCTTTGAGCTGTGCAGCAGGTACAACACCATTTACAATATCCCATTGTCCAGGTCGAGGGGCAAAAGCATTACCACAGCTCTCTTGCTGCAACACGCAGGGCCAGTTGTTTATCACCATTATTGCAAGGCAAGCTTTGACAAAAATACGATTTTAAATCTCTAGTTTGTATTATAAAGGAGGTGTTTTACACACAAGCCACGTAAAATGTATAGACGACGTTCCTTTATTAGACCCTTTTAGTGCAGTGACTTTTTTGGGGAAAATCCTTCAGGCAACCTCCAATATGGAATCTCATTGTCAGTTACACAGCATTACCAACAATTAAACACACGCAACAGCAGCCTTTCAGAATGATGACACTCTTATATAAGTTGTGTATAAAGTGAAACATACCTTTAAACTCACTGCATTTATCAGCGGCAAGTAAAAGGCAATAAATACAGACCTTATACTTGGACATTGCTCACAAAGACACACACAATTAATCAGATGCACCGGCAATGCACTACATTTTAACCCGGATATGAATCCAGTGCAGAATAATGGATTAGTGCGCATTAATGAAAAACACGAGTAATGATACACTGTAGGACAGCAGAGGCACCTTCCAATATGAAGCAATTCCATGAGACCAGGTTTCAGGCCGTGACTTAGGCACATGAGTGGAGGCTTGCAAGTGAATTCCATCCAATTAATAGCAGCCCTTTAGTGTTCGTGTCTAACAGCTCACAGGAAGTGAATTACAGAAACAGCCCGCGTGAGCTGAATACCAAAATACCTATTTCACTTGAAAACAAGACGTTCTCTTCGGCGAATCAATTGCAGTGTTACAGTGGTCATGTAACACTGGGTGTACATTTTTTGCATTGGTTTGACAGGACAGGCACAGAATCAAATACTGTCATTCACAGTCGCACTTCTCTGGATTTTTTTAAATCTGCTGAAATGGCCCAAAACATGATCTCCTGAAATGACGTTTCAAGTTACTGACAATTAGTTGCCTCTTGTTCCCACGATTATGGCTGTTAACTTCTGAAAGGGGCTTCATAAAAATGTGTGATTGCAAGTAACGTTTAAATCTTTGTTTTATATGTAAGCACCACCGAGGAACTGGAGCATGACAAACGTGTTTTCCTCTATACAAGCTGGAATATCAAGGCAACACATCTGACTGACAACATAGAAAAGGTTTGTAAATCGTGATACCACCTCCGCAGAATTGTTTTCACAACCTGCCAAAAAAATGTAGAATGGCTACACCCACTGTGGTCACATTCATTTTTTTATTTACAACTATTTTTCAGTTGTGTTCAACAGGCCAAGCTTGGTTAATTTCTTGTCTTTCCATTCACAGAGTATCCTCAATCGTAGCCAGGAACCTTTTAGCCCACCAGTCCTCAAGGTCCACTGGAACAAAGTCTCCTAGAAGAAAAACACACCTCAAGTAAACAATCCCAACAGTCTCAGATTACCATTAAGTGTAAAATTAAGTGACCTTAAAGTAATTCTGGGACATCATAACACTTGGAGATATCTTAGTACAAGTACTCCCTTAATACATGATGATGATGAGACGGTTAGGGTAGGGCAGGAAAAAAAACTTTTTTTCATATAAAGTGTCCCCAAACATGTTCAATTTAGATGCCAAGTAAATCTAAATTGTATTCTGGTGATCCGACTCCCGTGAAAATACTTGTATTGTGACCATCACTCAAATGACTACGTAATTATTGTTATATGGCTGGGCGGGTGGTGGCGAGGTCAACATTCTCAAATCAAGTCCAAGGTTCATTGGGACGGTGCCTCAGACAACAACACGATGACTGTGCAGGATCAAGCGGCAAACAATTCACCTTGTTTGTACCGATCCCATGACAATCACCGCGACACTGCTCAATTGTTTTACCGAAATTTATATTATGAACGTCACGCATTGTGCAATAGCATTGTATAATGAACCGGTGATGGAAAATGTCAAGCCGGCTGAAATGCGCAGGTTAGCGATACAGTTTGGTGATACGAGTCTCATGCAGAAGTGTTTGTTAAGGTGGTGCTGAGAGTTTAAATATGGATTTTAGTCAATAACAAGTAATGATATAGATCTGACAGCAGATGTCTCGAAATGGCTGCATATGTGCCCTGAATAATTCATTATTCTTTGCTTCTGGCATAAAGGTGTTACAACACGGATGTAACAAATCTGTATGTGTAGCAGGGCATTACCTTGAAATATACAGTGAAGGAAAAAAGTATTTGATCCCCTGCTGATTTTGTACGTTTGCCCACTGACAGAGAAATGATCAGTCTATAATTTTAATGGTAGGTTTATTTGATTTGAACAGTGAGAGACAGAATAACAACCACAAAATCCAGAAAAACGCATGTCAAAAATGTTATAAATTGATTTGCATTTTAATGAGGGAATTAAGTATTTGACCCCTCTGCAAAACATGACTTAGTACTTGGTGGCAAAACCCTTGTTGGCAATCACAGAGGTCAGACGTTTCTTGTAGTTGGCCACCAGGTGTGCACACATCTCAGGAGGGATTTTGTCCCACTCCTATTGCAGATCTTCTCCAAGTCATTAAGGTTTCAAGGCTGACGTTTGGCAACTCAAACCTTCAGCTCCCTCCACAGATTTTCTATGGGATTAAGGTCTGGAGACTGGCTAGGCCACTCCAGGACCTTAATGTTCTTCTTCTTGAGCCACTCCTTTGTTGCCTTGGCCGTGTGTTTTGGGTCATTGTCATGCTGGAATACCCATCCACGACCCATTTTCAATGACCTGGCTGAGGGAAGGAGGTTCTCACCCAAGATTTGACGGTACATGGCCCCGTCCATCGTCCCTTTGATGCGGTGAAGTTGTCCTATCCCCTTAGCAGAAAAACACCCCCAAAGCATAATGTTTCCACCTCCATCTTTGACGGTGGGGATGGTGTTCTTGGGGTCATAGGCAGCATTCCTCCTCCTCCAAACACAGCGAGTTGAGTTGATGCCAAAGAGCTGCATTTTGGTCTCATCTGACCACAACACTTTCACCCAGTTGTCCTCTGAATCATTCAGATGTTCATTGGCAAACTTCAGACGGGCATGTATATGTGCTTTCTTGAGCAGGGGGACCTTGCGGGCGCTGCAGGAATTCAGTCCTTCACGGCGTAGTGTGTTACCAATTGTTTTCTTGGCGACTATGGTCCCAGCTGCCTTGACATCATTGACAAGATCCTCCCGTGTAGTTCTGGGCTGATTCCTCACCGTTCCCATGATCATTGCAACTCCACGAGGTGAGATCTTGCATGGAGCCCTAGGCCGAGGGAGATTGACAGTTCTTTTGTGTTTCTTCCATTTGCGAATAATCGCACCAACTGTTGTCGCCTTCTCACCAAGCTGCTTGGCAATCGTCTTGTAGCCCATTCCAGCCTTGTTTAGGTCTACAATCTTGTCCCTGACATCCTTGGAGAGTTCTTTGGTCTTGGCCATGGTGAAGAGTTTGGAATCTGATTGATTAATTGCTTCTGTGGACAGGTGTCTTTTATACAGGTAACAAGCTGAGATTAGCACTCCCTTTAAGAGTGTGCTCCTAATCTCAGCTTGTTATTCTGTCTCTCACTGTTAAAATAAACCTACCATTAAAATTATAGACTGATCATTTCTTTGTCAGTGGGCAAACGTACAAAATCATCAGGGGATCAAATACTTTTTTCTCCTCACTGTAAGGGTACTAGATTCTCTGTACACGTTACATCATACAAAAGCATGGACATCATTTTTGACAAGCTATGCATAGCTGAATGCAACAGCTGTATGTGCACTGAAAATTGTATTTAACTATCTACTTTAATGACAAGATCAACTTACAGCTGTAAATGCTAGACAACGCATAAACATTCTATCAACTGACAATTAGAAACATTTAATAATGAAGGTTTATCATTATGGTTATTGGAGGCAGATTTTGCTAAGGCTTTTTAGTAACCCAACCACTTACTTTTCTGATTGTCATCCGATGTGTCCAGCACATACTCCACAGGTCCTGTGGAGTTTCCATTCAGCTGCCTGTTGTTCATATCCTGTTTCACATTTTGCCATGCTAAACAGGAGACAACAAAACCAGAGGGAAAACTGTCAATCTTATGCACCTACGAAAACAGTTCTCAAAGCACAGTTAGGTATATTTTAACACGATATATTGTACCTTGGTATATCTTATAAAATGCTGTAATATATAGGTTCACTGTAATCGAGATATATTAATATATGGGGGTGACTGTTATATAGCAGAAAGTACAGCTGATCCCTTGCAGCTGCCAAGCATGACCCATTATGTCAAACCCAGCCACAATGACATCATATGGATTCCATAACACATTAGGTGAAAGGCGTTTTCACCTTACAAGTACTGCTACAAACCACATAACCCACAGTAAACACCCACAGTAAAACACACACACAAACACACACACACAAAACACACACACAAACACAGGCACACACCCCAATACTCGAGGATTGAACAGCTATTGAGGTGCTTGGCTAAATTGTTTGTTTAAATTTCATGGCCAGTTTTGGCACTTCATTCTGGTTCTGCCTGTTTGGAGATACAATGACTGCCGTTTTGTCACTCTGCAGAAACCAACCAATCACCATTTGGTGATGAGAGTGTAAAAAGGTGTAAAGGTGCAGCCGAGCAATTATTGGCTCATGCCACTGCTGGTGGAAGTGTCTCCACGACAGGCAGCTTTAGAGATCCCCTCCAGAAAGAGCGATAATTTGGGCTATTCTTCAGCACCACTTCGATGTATGAGATAGGTTGGGAGTAGCAACCCTTTATGTGCAAAATTTTAAATATTGAAGGCAGTAGTTTAAGTCAAAGGCATTTTAAAAGGGATAGAAAAACAAATGTAACCAAAGACGGGCATTTCAAACAGTGGGCCATGATCCCAGAGACAATTATTTACTTATGCAAATGTTATGAATTTTTTTTTATAAATAAATAGTAGCTGACACAATTGACTTAAAGCTTTCGTAACTGCAGGAATTCATACTTTGGGTCTTTCGGTAAAGTCACGTAGATAGGTTTGTTATTTTCTTTCAACCTATCTACGTAACTTTACTGAAAGACCCAAAGAATAACAATTGTTTCATACACAGACAATTGTTAACAGATGCAGCACTAAAGACAAAGAAACTGCAGAATATGCCTAAGCATGTCTGTACCATATTTAAGTAACATTCTTGTTCGAACACCATAAGTAAAAAACTCATAAATGCTGTCTCAATTCTGAAACCACTGAGGTTAACTTGTAAGCTTTGCAAGGAGCTTTACTATCACAGTGGCTTGAAATCCAAATTATATCTTGGACTAAATTTAAATCAAACTCTTTGGTTTTATTCGGTAAAGTCACGTAGGTAAAAAATTTAAATCACTCAGAATTACATATCTTTCCTTACGACACTGTCATGCTTGTATCGGCTAAATTTCCAAACGAAGTCAACTTAATTCAATATCACTTCATGGGACCTCCTTTGCCAGTACCAAAATATGAGAATAGGTTTTTCCCCTTTTATCTGGCAACAAAACAGGTGTTAAGATGTTAAAACACCAAACCGAAACTTTTAGAGGAATCATGTCTGCATTAACCACAATACTTGTGGTCAAAATGCAAAAAAAAACTGATATATGCATTGTCTTTGAAACTGGTTGGTCCACACCAGAGACAGCTTTCTTTTGAGCCGCAGCCTCATCTTAAACGGTGTTAGAACAGAGGACGCCAAAAGGCGTACACAGCCCAAAGACAATGCCACTATCAGAGTAATGAGAGCTCGGGGTGAGCATCTACATCATGGGACCTCCTTTGCCAGTACCAAAATATAATAGGGGTTTCCCCTTTTTTCTGGTTTGTAAATTTAAGGGACTATTTCTTGGATACCATGAACTGGTGAAGGCTGTATGCCTTTTGGCGTCCTGTGGTCTAACACCGTTTGAGACGAGGCTGAGGCTCAAAAGAAAGCAGTCTCTGGTGTGGACCAATCAGTTCCAAGGACAATGCATATATTATCAGTGTTTTTTGTTTGCATTTTGACCACAAGTATTGTGGTTAACGCAGACATGATTCCTTGTAAAAGGTTTTAGTTTGGTGTTTTAACAACTTAACACCTGTTTTGTTGCCAAATAAAAGGGGAAAAACCTATTCTCAATATCACTTGTCATCACCAAAATTGCTCCTAAATTCCCAAAAAAGGAAGATCATGCTCTTTTCTTTCAACAAAAATCTAGTTTAATTCCCTTAATCTATTACGGATATCAGACACAATATCCTTGAACAAACAGAGTTCTTCAAAATACTTGGGCTTACAGATTGATTAAAAACTTACATTCCAACCGCATATTGATCACATCTCAAAGAACATCTAATAAAAAAATAGGGGTTTTATACAGAAACAAAGTTTTTCCATTCGATTGAACCTGAAAATTGACGTTATCATTCTACTACTTAACGACTGCTGCTTACATATCAGCTACTAATGAAATACGAAACAGATTAAACCCGCTTTATCACTCTGCTCTTCGATGTGCACTGGATGTACCATACAGGACCCGCCATTGTGACCTCTACTTAAAATCTCACATCGCTTGATGCAAGGCAAAATCTACATTGGGCACTGTTCATCCATAAAATCCCGATTGACAAATATGCGCTATACTTAGCCAATTTCATTAACCCCACTGTCAAACCCAAGAAACCTCAGACATCCATCTAAATTGCCTTTTAACTATCCCAAGAACGAGAATTGCCGTTGCAGCACCAAAGTGTCGCGACCTTTTGATTTAAAGCTTTCGTGACTGCAGTAATTCATATTCTTAGCCCTTTCGGTAAAGTCACGTTGAAGGGAACACCTGATGACGACCGTTTATGTTATGGTCGAAACGTCGTGAGAATTTCTATTGTTTTATATATATTTTATTATTTTATTGTTTCCCTTCAACGTGACTTTACCGAAAGAGCTAAGAATATGTCGCGACCTTGTTTTCTCCCTTAACATCGTACATCTTCCGTCAAAAGATATCCTGAAACAGAAAATGAGTGCTGGATACAGCCACATTGAGGAATGTGATTGCTAACTTTGATCCTTACCTGTGTATCGATCGTTACATTTTAATGTGAAATTTTATTTTGGGACTGCGTGTTGTCTTTCTGTTGTTTTGCTGTTTTGTTCAAGCTTGCATTTATCGTTGAAATATCGGCAAGGATTGATGTGCTCTTGCAATTTGTACCTAAGCTTTAATTGTTTTTATTTTAGTGACTTGTTTACACCTTTCCTGTACTTTGCAGTCCTATCAGTTCTGTATTGTTCTTGTAAATTTCTGACATGGTGCTACTGGACATCTGTGAAAGAGCTTCATAGCTCATTGGATTCCTCCAGTCTAAATAAAGATTCTGGTTCTGACAGTGGGTGATCTTTTAGGTTATCCCTTGCACGTCTGTCGACTCTGATTATGCAAGGGGTCAGCAATCGGAGCCAAACCATTGCCGCCACAATTCTGCCATCTGCTGTATAAACCTGAAGTGTGCAGTGTGGGCGATTGAACAAAAAAAATAACCAGGGCTGTTGACCGTGTATCATATACATGGAAAGCAAATTGTGCTTTACAAAACCGTTAGTGTAGCTTGGGAAAGCTGTCAGATGGAGAAGATTACAAACCAATGAAACATTTCCATAAGGACATAAATGTCGTGCTCAAATTGAGGATGAATGTTACTTCAAACTGTATTACACACCAATGCTGAATGTATCATTTAGGATACAAAATCACTTGTGTAAAAAGTCTGTGTGGCCAGTTTTGCACATGTTGTTAAGCAAAAAAAAAAATGATTTGAAGCTTTCGTGACTGCAGGAATTACTCTTTTGTTCTTTCAGTAAAGTTGTGTAGAAAGAAAATAAATTAAATAATAGAATACGACGTTTCGATTGCAACACAAGCAACCGTCATCAGGTGTCAATGAATGCAAGCTCGGAGAGAGACAAAACACAGACACGGAGAGAGACACATACACAGAGAGACACAGAGAGAGAGAGAGACACACACAGAGAGAGACAAAGAGAGACACGCACAGAGAATCAACTCCTCTGTGACGAGGCATTATATATAGAGAGGGGTGGGGGCAGAGAAATTAGCATGTCAATCAGAGCGGCAGGGGGAGAGAAATTGGAAGAATAGAACCAAAGAGTATGGATCCTTGCAGTCACAAAAGCTTCAAATCTAGAAACCTAGTAAAACTTAGAAATGGAATGCAATCGAAACGTCGTATTCTATTATTTTATTATTTCCCTTCTACGTGACTTTACCGAAAGAACCAAAGAATAATTTCCTGCAGTCACGAAAGCTTGAAATCAAGTTTGAACCACCTCTACGGGGAGGATTTCCACACAACTCATACTTAAACTTCTAATTTAGCAATCTTTGGAAGAACGTAATCAACCAGGTAAAGTGTTAACTGTTGTGTTAGCCGACTCTCTGTGTTGCATTACATTCCATGTCTAAGTTTACTAGGTTTGTTTTCTCAAACTCCCAATTTCTCTCCCCCTGCCACTCTCATTGACATGCTAATTTATCTGCCCCCCCTCTCTCTTTATATAATACCTCGTCACAGAGGCGTTATTTCTCTGTGTCTCTGTGTGTTTCTCTCTGCGTGTGTTTTCTCTCGATGTGTCTCTGCCCCATGTGCGTCTCTCTCTCTGTGTATGTGTCTCTTGCATTCATTCACACCTGATGGCGGTTGCTTGTGTTGCAATCAAAACGGCGTATTCTATTATTTCTTTATTTTTCTTTCTACGCGACTTTACCAAAAGAACCAAACAGCAAATAAAAAAGTCCAGAGGGCACGTTGTGCACCCATGACCTCTGAAACTCAAGGTGGCAAAGCAGATCCATCTGGAGCTTCTACGAAAAATAACCAATCGTTGGCCTATGGCCCCGAACCGTCAGTTACAGGTCATGCAGATACTCCCAACCTTGACAAACAATACCAATGCATGCCGGAGTCACGGCAGCGAAATCTGGGGATCACAAAGACAAAGTCGCCCAGA